TCAACTGTGCAACCCACTGAAGTCTTATACCCCACCACTGCCAACCTTAAGCTACATTCACAGAAGAGATGATGATCTCTTAGTTTCCTAATCTGATCCACATTTTCCAGCCCTCATGTTACTGGACCTCCCTCTCAACAGCATCTGGCACTGTTGGCCGCAGTTTTCCTGTCTTCCTTCCTTCCTTTCTTCCCTGGCTTCTAACAGCACATGTGAGATAAGAACTGTGCCCAAATCTCCATAGCGTCAACGTGGAAAAGCTTATTTTTGTTCATAAGGAATCTACCGCAGGCCCAAGTGACCCTCCTGAGAAACTGTCCTCCATGTGATGACACAATGATCCAGTGTTAGAGCTTTCAACCTTCCCTTCTCACTGCCAAACCTCCATGATCACCCTGCAGGAGAAGGGGTCAGGGGAGGGAGGTCTTACTTCAGCAAGTAAATGCTTCAACTAAAAGGGAAAACATAACTTTCATTCATAGTCTCCTGGCCGGAACTAGTCACATGGCACCACCACAGGTGCGGCTCTGGGCCAGGAAGAGAGGAGAACCGGCTGTGGTGAGAACTAGCACAGTCCACGCCACAAATCTGGATCTCTTTCATGAGCCCCAGCCCTGTGCATCCACCTACCTGCTAAAGTCAATGTGTCCAAGAGGGATGCATTATTTACCCATTCCCACACCCCTTTCTTCTATATTTGCGCTATTAATCAGTGATATAAAGAAGAAACCTGGGAGTAACCCTGAGCTCCTCTCCCATACCTTCCTCTCACAACTAATAAATAACTAGACCCATCACCTCTCTCTGCCCTATCTCTTCCTCCCTGTGCTCGTTTCCTCTGGCCAGAGCTCTGCAGTGGCAAAGGACTTGCCCCCACTGCCTGGCCCCCCAATCAGCCCCTCCTATGCTCTGTTGCCTACATCTAAATGTGACCATGTCACTCCTCTTCAGCAGTCCCTCCATTTCCTCTAAGCTAAGGTGTGTGTAGGGTCCTCCATCACCTGGTCTTGCCCTTCCTCTCCAGCCTTTCCTCTTCCGTTCTCCATCCCCACCTGACCCTCATTCCCCACTGCAGCAGCCGTGTAAAACACTCGCATTTCCTGGACTGTAATGGACATGACAAAGCGCGTGTTTGCTCATGCAGTCCCTCTACCTGGAATACGCTTCCTTCGTCTGCCTGCCTAGAAACCGTGATTCATCTTTCAAGACGCAACTCCTACATCATCTCCTCTACGATGCTTCCGGTGACACTCACTTTTCTTCCTTATTTTGTAAGCTGAGCCTTTTCTGTGTTGGGTCCCCCTCCAACCTGTGCAGATGTCAGCATAGCATCTACAATGCTTCTTTATGCTGTTGACTCCAGAACTTGGCAGTGCATTTGGGTCATAGTAGGCACTCGGTCAATGTTTGATTAATTAATTAAATTGTCACTCTACGTCTCAGGGCACCTGGGTGTCTCAACATCCACTCATCCGCTTCGGCTCTGAGCTGACAGGATGGAGCCTGCTTCAGATCCTCTCCTCTCTCTCTGCCCCTCCCCGCCACACTCTCAAAAATAAACAATCAAATAAATAAAATCGTTGCTTTAAGTCTTGAGCTACTGGTGTTTCCCCTTCTGGCTCTTCTTCCTCAGTCAGCCTTTTGGTAACAACTTTGGTCACGGTCTGACTTTGCCCTTCCTTGTTGTTGCTACCACCTTCCTGGATGTCTCTCAAATTCACTTACGCTTCTTCATTTCTCTATCACTATCACCCTCGCCCGAGTTAGTGTTATTCATCCCTCGATGAGGTCACTGCAGTAATCTCCCAGCCTGTCCTTTCATACCCATTGTCTTCCAGTTTGCTCCTCTCCCCCAGATTCAGCGATTGAGAACGCAAGTCTGATCGCGTCACCCTCGCTTCTATTATATCCTATTATATCCCTCTAGTGTAGATCAACCCACTTCTCTTACAATAAAAACAAAAGCTCTGAGGGAACTGGCCCCTTCCTGCCTCTTCAGCTTCCCCCCACCACGTTCCAGGTCCCCCTCCCCGCCGCCCCGCCCTCCCTAGTCACAGGCTTCCTTGCTTTCAGCTGTTGTCATACCAGCCTTTTTTCCTCTTTTTTGAACTTCCTACCCTCCTTTCTGGCACAGGGCTTTTGAATTTTAACATTCTGTTCCCTCAAATTGTTTGTCTCATCTTGACTCAGTGTAACCCCAACTCACACTTAGAATTTTGGCTTGCTTTGCCTCCAGGAAGCCCTCCCTGGTTCCTTGTATCATACGCATATACAGTGGGGATCCTCGGCCTTCACAGCACATGGAATTATTACAGTTTATCATTTCCTTGGGTGGTATAGGCCTCCTTTACTAGGCTGAAAGTTCAAGAAGCATGAAAAGGCTGTTTTGGGCTCACCATTATGTCCTCAGGATGTAAGTACATGGCGCACAGTAAATGCTCAACAAATGATTTTGGAATGAATGACAAAATGAATTCTCTCAGGGGCGCCTGGGTGGCTTAGTCGGTTAAGTGTCTGACTTTCGCTTAGGTCATGATCTCGCGGTTCGTGGTTTCTAGCCCCGCGTCGGGCTCTGTGCTGACTGCCAGCTCAGAGCCTGGAGCCTGTTTCAGAGTCTGTAACTCCCTCTCTCTCTGACCCTCCCCTGCTCACGCTGTCTCTCTCTCTCTCTCTCTCCTAGAAATAAATAAAAATATTAAAAAAAAAAATGAATTCTCTCAGCCCCTGAGATTCAAAACCTTGACAGCCTGCTCATTTTGTTCCCTGTGTGCAGGCTCCAACTTTTACAACGTCCAGGCTCCTTACATCTGGAAGGTGGGCTCCTCCCCATTCCCGGTGCTCATGTCCCTATTAAATACCTAAACTATTGCCATATTCCCCTAGCTGACTTCCTTGCCTCTTTCTCTACCCATAATTTATCTATATGAGGTGGCACAATCTTCCTTAAAGGCCATGTTTATCATATTATGTCCCAAGTCAAAAACCTTCAGTGGTTCCTTATTAATATTTACAATATGTGTTTTGCTTGGATTCAAAGACCCCCACAGTCTGGCTGGGATCTGGGTAACTATTTTTACTTCCCCCTCCTTCCAAATGCCCACTCTGGAACCTTGCTCATATCCCGGAAATACATCCCCTGAATTCCAGCAACCAGTCCTGGGCCTGGGCCACTCCTTACACGTGGTTCCTTTCTGCTCCATCACATCGCGTCGAGGCTCCAGAGCCCCAGCTCCAGGCCTATCTGCGCAAAGCCTGGCCTGATTTCAGCAGCCCCACCCACCCCGTCAGCTCTTCCTTTGTCTCCAGGCCCACGAGTTGCTCTGCCCTCTGCCTGGAACCTTCTTTCCCAGGCCCTCTGGCTGGCCAGCTCTTTCCCATTCTCTCGTCCTCAGGGCCTGCTCCTTGGACAGACCATCTCGGTCATCCATTTCATCTAGGATGTTCTCCCATCATTTACTCCCTAGCATGGTCCATGGCCCTCAACACCATCGGTAATCAGCCATCTCTCTTCCCAAGTAGACAGTAGGTCCCACGCGGAGATGTTCTGCCCTGTTCTCTGAAATACCCATCACACCCAGTTCACTATTGTTTTTTAGTGATTGTATGTATTACTATTTTACATATTTTTCCAAATTATTAAACGTTTGTTGTTTTCAAATACTATACCAAAAAAAAAAAATAGTATGCATTTCTTGATTAACGATCCAGAGATAGAAATTCCAAGTTAAAGGTGTTCTGGGAGCACCTGGGTGGCTCAGTCAGTTGGGCATCTGACTTTGGCTCAGGTCATGATCTCACAGTGCGTGGGTGCCAGTCCCGCACTGGGCTCTGTGCTTAGAGCTCAGAGCCTGGACCCTGCTTCTGATTCTGTGTGTGTGTGTGTGTGTGTGTGTGTGTGTCTGTCCCTCCCCCACTTGCATTCTGTCTGTCTCTCTCAAAAATAAACATTAAAAAAATTTTTTAAAGGTGTTTTTTCTCTATTTCAATAGTTTGAGTTACTAAGAGGATAATCCACTGAGTTCTCTCTTCCTTTGATAGTTTTAGCCTTATAAGCATGAGAATTCTTGCTTTATTTTTCATAAACTCCCTAAATTGAGGACACTCTTTTGTAAAAGAAATACGTAAAAATAATTTCAGGGATTATTTTCTTTTTTCATACTTTTTGAACCCTTTAAATATCATATTTCACTCTGAAGGTGCTGTTTTCTTCTAATGTCAAACAAAACACAACAGGGAAATCAGGCCCGCTGTGGTGTTCTTAGAAATTACCGTGCTCCAAATTTCTTAAATATCTGTGAATTCATAATAGTAAATTTTTCACAAATTACATTTTAGATAATATTTCTAAGTCCCTATGTTTATTTTTCTAAATTCATCCTGCCTCTACATTTTACTACCCCTTTTAAGAGGCAGAGTCCTTTATTAACATTATGTTATGAATAAATGTTTATAAAGAAATGTTTCATGGGGCACCTGGGTGGCTCAGTCAGTTAAGCATCTGACTCTTGGTTTCGCTCAGGTCATGGTCTCACGTTTTGTGAGAAATAAATGATTCGTCTTCCCTTTGAAGGGATCGCCATACCTGTTAACACACTTCATGAAGTGAAGCTGCCCAGCTAGCCCCTCGCTCTTGACAGTGCTCTCTGTGTCTGTCTACTTATCAACCTCATCGTCCCGGTTAGAACTAATGAGACTTTAAGATGCTTGGTGTCACTGATAATCTCATCCTGCTGTGACCTTCACCTTATCTAGCACGGTGGTTAAATACTAATAAACACTTAATTAGAAATAAACTTGTCTAACCCCCTACATTCTAGGGTTCATGGGTCAAAAGATACACAAGAAGCTGTTTATGGGATTAAAAAATATATGTTATTATAACAAATAATTTAAAAAATATATAAAGAGTGTTGGCCTCAAAGAGGAAGTCTGCCCTCAAACCCAGATAAGATCTTTGCGACATACAGCTTGACCGTGGCAATAGTAGTGATCATTTCGTCATTTCTGAAAAATAGTAATAAGTCACGGAAGCAAGTAAAAGGTTCAGTCTTACACGACTGGCATCTTATGACCGGACTTTTTCTTAGAAGGTAATGCCTTTATCCCCACGCTTTTAATCTAGATGAAATAATCATTCAGCAAAAGAAAATGTCATCTAATTTTTAGTGGTGGTTCTCCTTTTTTTTTTTTTTTCTGTTCTGTTTAATTTTATTCGGTGGGGGAAGGGTTGTATTTTGAGTGGCTGCATTTAGTTGGTAGCTTTTGTGGCAATCAGTAAGATTTTCCCCCCTCCGCTGGCAAAATGTGGAAAAGTAGATATCAAGCTGTTTCTATTTTAAATTATGCTCTGTCAAATGTTTGGAGTGTTGTTTTCAAATGGAAATGTGTTTCCTGCTTTTCTTGGCCTGGATCTGTAAGTAGTTATTTTCTTGCAGCACTGTGTGTGACGGTTTTGTCTTTCAGAGTGGGGTGGCCCAAAATATTTTAAAGGTGGCTCCAGTGACATTACTTTGGGATGGTGGTAAATTCAGAGCCATTCCTGTGAAGGTTAAGGTTTTACAGAATCCTACGATCCTCTCGTCTCTCATCTCCCCAGTGGTAAGTTTGGAATAAATTCCTAGGGGATCAGAGTCTTTTCAGCGCAGACACATATTTCAATATTTCAAAAATACTCTATACTAAATATTTTATGGTGCTTTACAAAGAGCACGTTGACTTTTAAATTAGAAAAGGAGCGAAAAGTGCTAGAAACATTGTTGCCACGGAAGATTCTGCTGCGGGTGGTGGGCTCCCTATTTCTCGAGTCTTGGTGTTCTCACCAAATTTCCCTGTTGACACTTTTGTTATGATCCGGGTTACATTATTTGGTCGATGGTAAGGCATTTAATGTTGTGGCTGTTGTAACTGGTACATGGCAATGAGGTGTCCTTCTTCCGACCCTCTCCATGTTCAAGGACTTGGAAATTAATTCACTTTTGAAAGGTGAACAATTAAACACAAATAATTGATGACATTTGTGGCCTAAATCAATTACCTTTAAATACAGCAGGGATGAGAAGAGCCAAAAATTCTTATCAGAATTTTTGTGCCTAAATATGAAGTAGAATTGTGGTCTCCTAAAATTGTTTTATTATTTTATTTAATTTGTAAATTATTTATAAAAGTAGAAACCATGTCATCAGCGAAGGAACTGGTTAAGCACACTATAGGATGTAACTATAACAGAAAAACCTATTACCACTAAAAATGCCTATAGAAAGTCTTAAGTGGCATGGGAGGGGTATTTATGACTAAAAAAACTCAGTAAAAATAACAACAAAAGATATGAAGAATGCTCGACCAAATACATTAGACTTATATGATGTTCAATCTTAAAGTCATCCATTCATCTTCTCCCATACTTAGTTTAAGTCAATGGTTACCAAGAAAAACTGTGGTTTTAACTGGCTTTCTTGTACGTTCTGATAGAACGCGCTGGTGACACCAACATGTTCCTTATGTCATTTCAGTTTATACATCAGTCTCCTGTGAGTTAACTTGCTGTGAGTCAGTTCTGGACCAATCAGTCTATTCCTGGTGCCCTGCTAAGATTACATTTCTGGACGTGCACAGCTGAGGACTGGTAACCATACCATGTGAAGTCTGTGACCCCTGACCTCACTAGAACACCCACCATGACTTGCGTCTCTCTTGTCATTACTGCTCTGATATTAAAATCACACTGTCAGAGTTTTCCCCTTTGTTAACCTTTCCTTTCCGGGCTTTCTAAGAGGAATGTTTTTTTATTCTTAGGGGAAGACGGCATGGGAGGAGGCCATTCTGCATCTGAATGCAAGAATGGTAAGTCCAGGGCTGACACAGTTACCTGCCCCACTACTGAGTTAATATGGACTGAAGAGCTGGGATGGGACATCACATTGGATTCTGCAGTTGGGAGAATGAAATTTTACCTTGATGCAGACTCTAACGCCCAGAAGAGAGGAAAAGGGAACCAGCGAGAACAATCTGATCCTCTCAGTTTGAGTCAAGTGTGTCTCTGTGCTCAGTGCCAGACCAGCTGGTTAGCTTATGACCTTACACTTCCCTTCCCTTACTGGCCCCCTGTTTATGGTGCAGGCATTAATGCCCTGCTGCTCCCTTTGGCTACTCACTGTTAAAAGCTGCCCTGCAAACAAAGGAACAAACTAAAATAGGTAGCAGTTTACAAGGCCAAGTTCCTCCAAACATTGGGAAATGCTAGTTCTGGGTTTCACTTTTGGTTCTTTACTCCCTTGCCTTGAGATTGGTGGCTTAAGTCCCAGGGAGCATATCTTCCGAGGGGGCCTATTAAATCTTTAAGGGAGCCCGTGGGAGACATTTGTTTGTTTGTCAAAGGGGCTACAAAAACACTAGACTCCTCTTTCCTTGGCTTAGCTGATTATTTTTTGAGTTCCAACTCTAATTTTCTTTTTTTTTAAATTTTTAATGTTTTTATTTATTTCTGAGAGAGAGAGACAGCGTGTGCAGGGGAGGGGCAGAGAGAGAGGGAGACACAGAATCCGAAGCAGGCTCCAGGCTCTGAGCTAGCTGTCAGCACAGAGCCTGACACGGGGCTCGAACCCACAAACCATGAGCTCATGACCTGAGCCGAAGTCGGACGCTCAACTGACTGAGCCACCCAGGTGCCCAACTCTGATTTTCACATGAAAGGATCCAGGATCTAGGAAACACTGTTCTCTCCCCCTTTTTTTTTTTTTAATGTCTATTTATTTTTGAGAGACAGAGAGAACATGAGCAGGAGAGGGGCAGAGAGAGAGGGAGACACAGAATCCCAAGCAGGCTCTGTGCTCAGCCAGAAGCGGGGCTTGAACTCCTGGACCGTGAGATGAAACCAAGAGTCGACACTTCACAGACTGGGCTGCTCAGGCGCCCCTCTCCTTTTGCAGAGTGTGCACCCCCCCCCATCAGTTATTTCCATGGGCTGCTTGGACAGGGTGGGGCGCCTGGGGACACTTAAGCTGGAAGAATTCATGAGACGCGACAGGTGCATTAATCCCCTTCCTGGTCTCTCACAGACGGACAAAGCCACACAGTAGCCCCAACACCTACGTCCTCCTTCTGGGAGGGCACCAAGTAAGTGCTCCACCCATCTCGTCTCGTGCCCCATGGCCCTGACTTTTGTGTTGGCAGCTTAGGAGGGTAACAGGAGGGACTTAAGAGGGCGGTCTGGGGAAAGGGGGCCAGAAACAGGTGAAGAACTGAATGGTTTTTTATGTTCAGAGTGTGCTGCTTAACGCCGGATTCCCCAGGGAGGGGAGACCGCTCAAGAGACCCATGAAGCCCCTCAGCTGATAGATAAAACCTGTTGTGCGGGGGTACCTATGAAGATTTGGGGGTGGGGGGGGAGAGCCCATGGTTTTCACTGAGGCCTCAAATAGTTCTGGAACCCAAAGCAAAAAGCTGAGTGAATGTCACCCAACAAACATGAAAGCTATTTCAGGGACTTCTGCGCAGGTGGGAAAGATGACCTCTGGCCTTCCGCAAAGGCCTTCAGAAAGTCCAGTGGTTTACTATCCCCCCCTTTGCCCACACAGCATACAGTACTTGCTCCTGGCCTTTTTTGCTGGGGTCCTGCTGACATTGCTGCTGTTGGCCCTTATCTTCTTCGTCATACGGAGCTGCAGGAAATGTAAGTGGCCTCTCAGAGACCGACTGCTCCTCTTGCTCAGTCCCTGAGAACAGAGTCAGCTCTGAGGGCGAGTAAAACCCAGGGAGCTCAGCCTGTCTGCAGGCTGAGGATCTGAACCCCCAAACTCCTCCCCCTGCCCTCCCACCCTCTACTTTTCCCACCTGTAACACCCACCCCTTCGCCCCAGCCCGCAGGGAAAGCCTTCCCATCCCTCCGGGCCCCGTTGCTGACACTTGTCCCTCTCTCTCCTGGCACCTGCGGCAGGTCACTCTAGTCTCGGGGCCCTGGATCCTCCCTTAGATCCTCACTCCGGCCAAGATCCTCCGGCCAAGGTAGGATGACCACGTTGTTTCCGGGCAAGTGCATCTTTGAAGGGTTCTTCTGATCTCTGGTCCTCTGTGACCACAGCTTCCAAATGGCTTCTAAAGAGACACCTTCCTCCAAATTGAACTCACTCATGCCTCCTCCTCTGGCCTCTGCAGCTCTCACCCCCGGAGGAAGCACTTACCTATGCCAGCATGACTTTCAAAGCTTCAGAAGGAAAGAGCAATCACCTGACTGAGAAACATCCTGCCGGCTTGGACACAGTTGTCTACTCTCAGATCAAAGTGACAAACTCAGCAGACCTTCTCAGTGAGGCTTGACGAGAGTCCCTCTTATCTCCGCTCCATCTTTATATGTCACTTTCCCTTTGGACAAATTTGGGACCACAGCTGGGCCAGACTATGGTTGGGAGTTGTTTTGGGTGTGATTGGGCAGTGTTAGAAGCATCCAGCGTGTTTGAAGACCAAGGGACCTTCCTTCCCTTGGCCTGAGAAAAGATTGCTGGCCCTGCTGCTTGGACTGACAGCCTGACAGACCCTGGAGGGCTGAGACTGCCTCCCTCGTCCCCTTCCTAAGTGTGTGGTGGTGCGGAGCTCAGGGCACAAAGGGTGTTCCGTTCACTCAGTGCCGCTGATCAGTTTGGGAGAGGTCACCCAGCTGGGCAAGCTAGCAAGAACTACAAATAAAAGCAACCCCCCTGCAAAGCTGGCCCCTCCTGCATTTGTCTGTCCCCATCACCTCCAGAGACCAGAACTCATGCAGAGCCAGAGAGCCTCACAGAGGTGACGGGACTCTAGATCAAGCTCAGGGTTGATGGGGACACCAGTCTCAAGCTCTGCACCTACTAGCTGCATTCTTTTGAGTAAGTGCGTTAAACTTTTTTTCTTTTAAATTTTTAAAAATGTTTGTTTATTTTTGAGGGGTTGGGGAGAGGGTGAGGCAGAGAGAGAGGGAGACACAGAATCTGAAGCAGGCACTAGGCTCTGAACTAGCTGTCAGCACAGAGCTAGACACGAGCCGAAAGATCCTGACCTGAGCCGAAGTCGGACACTTAACCGACTGAGCCACGCAGGCGCCCCAAGTGTGTTAAATTTTTTAAAGCTTCGACTGCTTCATCTTGAAAACAGAATAATACTTACCTCTTCGTGTGAGAATAAGTGAGATGTCATCTACTTAGGTACTTTGTACCTCCCAGAGTTTTACATAAATACAAGGCCGCTGTTGCGTAAAGCACTATTCAAGTCACCTCCCTGCTGTAGCATAAAAGATACGCTAAGCAATGTTACATGGGAACTGAAGATCAAATGTTAACTCCCCTAAATCCTAATGCATAATCCCATAGACAATTCCAGTAAACATACCAATAAGATTCTTTTTCACTCAGTGAGGTTACTCTAAAATTCTTGTACAGATATTAAACGAGAAAACAAATCCAGGAAAATCTATACAAAGAAGCAAATAAAGTGATGTGGGAAGGGGTGCCTGGGTGGCTCATTCGGTTAAGCTTCCGACTTCGGCCCAGGTCAGGATCTTTCGGCTCGTGTCTAGCATCGGGTTCTGTGCAGGCAGCTCAGAGCCTGGAGCCTCTTTCAGATTCTGTGTCTCCCTTTCTCTTTGCCCCTCCCCTGCTCATGCTCTATCTCTGTTTCAAAACAATAATTAAAAAGCTATAAAAAAATTTAAAAAACGTGATCTGGGAAGGCTACCCCTAACAGCTAACTAGAAGTATTGTTTTATCACGTATGACTTAATAAAACATGTTCATGGTTCATGAATAAACGAGTGCGATGGAATGAAAACACTAGATAAAGATCAAAATACATGAGGAAATTGAGAGTATGACATAGCTGGCATATCCAATCATTTGGGAGGAATTGGTTTATTCATAAATGGTGTTTAGACAGGTAGGTAGCCTTATGGATGAAAACAAGATCAGAATCCACACCTCCCTTCTTAAATCAAAATAAATTCCAGATACATCAAAAATTTAACTGTAAAAACATTATGAAAGTACTAGAAGAGGGGCACCTGGGTGGCTTGGTTGGTTGAGTGTCCGCCTCTTGATTTCCCAGCTCAAGACACCATTTCACAGTTCGTCAGATTGAGCCCTGCGTTGCGCTCTGTGCTGGCAGTGTGGAGCCTGCTTGGGATTCTCTCTCCGCCCCCCCCCCCCGCTCCTCCCCTGCTTGCACAGGGGTGCATGCTCTCTCTCTCAAAATAATAAAAATAAATAAAAAATTTTTAAAAATTAAATTAATAAATACATTTTTAAAAAAAGTACTAGAAGAATATAGGAGAATTTTAAAAACAGAATGGTGCACACTTCACGTGTATGACCTGAAGCCAATAAACCAGAAAAGACTGATTAACTGGAGTTACAAAATGCCATTCAAAATGAGAAGTTTGGAAAATATTTGCAAAGCACCATGTAACCAAAAGGCTAATTTTCTTAATATATTAAGAGTTCCTGTAAGTCAACAGGGAAGAAATCAGCAACTCAGTAGAAAATAAAGGACCAACGATAGGTCTGGGTTAGTCAGAGAAAAGGACATATGAATGGCTTCTAAACATATAAAGAGATACTCAAGTCTACTCATAATAAAAGAAAGAGTAATTAAAAACACAATTAGATATTTTCCATCAATGAGGTTAGCAACATCCAGAAAGTTTGCTAACAAACAGTTTGGGTAGGACTGTGGGGAAGCAAGACATGCATGCAATTGCTATGGAGGTAATTTGGCAAGAGCTAGTGACATTTTAAAATCTGTTGCTGAGAATTCTTCTCAAAGCTAGAACAAGCTATCTTAAAATTTGTATCGAACCACAAAAGACCCCAAATAGTCAAAGTAATATTGAAGAAGAAAACCAAAACAGGAGGCATCACCATCCCAGACTTTAGCCTCTACTACAAAGCTGTCATCATCAAGACAGTATGGTATTGGCACGAAAACAGACACATAGACCAATGGACTAGAAGAGAGAACCCAGAATAGGACCCACAAATATACACCCAACTAATCTTTGACAAGGCAGGAAAAGAGTATCCAATGGAAAAAAGACAGCCTCTTTAACAGATGGTGCTGGGAGAACTGGACAGCAACGTGCAGAAGAATGAAACTAGACCACTTTCTTACACCATGGACAAAAACAAACTCAAAATGGATAAAGGGCCTGAACATGAGACAGGAAACCATCAAAACCCTAGAGGAAATAGCAGGAAACAACCTCTTTGACCTCAGTCGCAGCAACTTCTTATTCGACACGTCTCCAAAGGCAAGGGAATCAAAGGCAGAAATGAACTATTGGGACCTTATCAAGATAAAAAGCTTCTGCACGGCAAAGGAAACAGTCAACACAACTAATGGTCAACCGACGGAATGGAAAAAGGTAGTTGCAAATGACACATCAGATAAAGGGCTAGTATCCAAAATCTGTAAGGAACTCGCCAAACTCCACACCCGAAAAACAAATAATCCAGTGAAGAAATGGGCAGAAGATGTGAACAGACACTTCTCCAAAGAGGACATCCAGATGGCCAACAGACACATGAAACGATGCTCAGCATCCCTTCTCATCAGGGAAATACAAATCAAAACCACACTGAGATACCACCTCACGCCAGTCAGAGTGGCTAAAGTGAACAAAGCAGGAGACTATAGATTCTGGAGAGGATGTGGAGAAATGGGCACCCTCCTACACAGCCCCTCTGGAAAAATTAACAAAATTTTTCATCAAAAAATTAACAAAAGAACTTCCCTATGACCCAGCAATAGCACTGCTAGGAATTTACCCAAGGGATACAGGAGTGCTGATGCATAGGGGCACATGCACCCCAATGTTCATAGCAGCACTCTCAACAATAGCCAAAACATGGAAAGAGCCTAAGTGTCCATCAGCTGATGAATGGATCAAGAAGATGTGGTTTATACTACATGGCAATGAGAAAGAATGAAATCTGGCCAATTGTAGCAACGTGCGTGGAACTGGAGGCTATAATGCTAAGTGAAATGAGTCAGGCAGAGAAAGACAGATACCATGTTTTCACTCATGTGGAACAGGAGAAACTTAACAGAAGATCATGGGGGAGGGGAAGGGGAAAAATAGTTAAGGAGAGGGAGGGAGGCAAACCATGAGAGACTCTTAAATACAGAGAACAAACTGAGGGCTGATGGGGGTGGGGGAGAGGGGAAAATGGGTGATGGGCATGGAGGAGGGCACTTGGGATGAGCACTGGTGTTGTATGGAAACCAATTTGACAATAAACTATGTTTAAAAAAAAATTTTAAAAATAGGGGCACCTGGGTGGCTCAGTAGGTTAAGCATCTGACTTCGGCTCAGGTCTGATCTCGCAGTTCATAAGCTTGAGCCCTGCATGGTGCTCTGTGCTAAACAACAGAGCCTGCTTGGGATTCTCTCTCTCTTCCCCCTGCCTTGCTGCCCCTCCCTCACTCTTTTCCTCGCTCTTACAATAAATAAGCTTTGAAAAATACATTAGGTAATATTTTAAGAAACTGAGGTAAGAAAATTAAAGTTTGAAGAAATTGGTTAATTTAGCCAATGTCTGGCATCTACTAGATGACAGACACCATTTAAGTCCAGTCCTCCAATTTCCGATTTTTGGCATTTTGCCTCCATGCCAAGTTGGCCCACCCAGAGGTAGAATGGCAGAGAAACTAGCAAGTCAGGTAACCTAATCGAGAGAGCATGTGCATTCTGAGATGGAGTAGTGGCTCCTGACAGCTGGATTTTTAAAATAAATGTTTATTTATTTTTAAGAAAGAGAGAGAGGGAAGGGCAGAGAGAAAGGGAGATGGAGGATCTGAAGCAGGTTCCATGGTGTTAGTGTAGAGAGCCTGATGCCGAGCTTGAACTTACAAACCGCGATCTCTAGAGGGCCAACTCCTCTCCGCATCCCCTGCTTTGACGTGGCACATCCTCCCCAGAGCTGGCCAGTAAGAGACAATGAGACCAGACTCTGAGAGGTTGGAAGGGTTGGACGACAGGGCAGTGTGACAACCTGCCCCCCACACGTGGATGCGAGGGACGAGGTCATGACCTGAGCCAAAGTTGAATGCTTAACCTACTGAGCCACCCAGGCACCCCCTGACGGCTGGATTTTGAGAAGGCAGTGGAAGAGGGGGTCCAGTGCGGGAGCAAACAAGCCGAGGAGAAAGATGGTTTGGGGACATAGTCCAGTGCAGAGGCCACAGCATGGCAGAGTGCCCAGCCCTGGGAAGGCAGTAGAGGCTCTTCTGTCGCTGGCTGTGGAGGGCACCTCAGGGAGGGCTCTCTGGCTGTCAGCCATTCCCAAACTCGGGGCTGACAGCAAACAACTCTATGGACCTTTGAAGCTAGAAGCCACATCAGCTTTCCAGTTAAGAGCCAGTGCTTTTTAAAAGGCTCCAAGAGGAGGGGTAAGCATTGTCCTGGGGCCACCCACTTGGACATGCAGTATCACATTAATTGCTCTTCCTTCTCTCTTCTTGAAACTTCCCGGGGCACCTGGGTGGCTCAGTCAGTTAAGCATCCGACTTCGCTCAGGTCATGATCTCACGGTTCGTGGATTCAAGCCCCGCGTCGGGCTCTGTGCTGACAGCTCAGAGCCTGGAGCCTGTTTTAGATTCTGTGTCTCCTTCTCTCTCTGACCCTCCCCTGCTCATGCTGTCTCTATCTCTCTCTCAAAAATAAAAAAAAATAAAATATATTAAAAAAAAAAGAAACTTCCCAATTTCAGTAGCAGAGCCCTGTGTTTACAAAATTTTGGGTTTTGTCTCCCTGTGGTGAAAACTAGTGTGCCCCTGGCCTTGCTGGAGGATGAAATGAACCATTAAATAATAGACCGTAGATTCAAAAGGTCAGTGCCAGGAACGGGAAGGAGAAAAAGGCTCTAGAACCTTAGTTCACGGAATCAGAACAAACCTGTAGGATTCTCCAGGGAAATGGCTCTCCAGATTCGTAAGTATACATCTTCCAAGACAATGATAGATGTCTTCATCTGTCGTGGAAGATTGATGCCTGCTGTCTTGGCTTATGCAGCAAGATGGCCCCACGAGGCCCAGGCTGGATTGCTATTTGTAGAACCGGCGGGCTTGTGCTTGACCATGGTCACGGAGGAGGGCCTGGAGTTGTTTTGTAGCTGACGGAAAAGGCAACACTTTTGATGCTGTTTGCGCTGAGACTCTGGGAGGGAGGGGGTCTGGCCACAAGGAAACAGGGAGGATGGTGGGAATGGGATGGTCCCCGCACCCCTGCCCCTTCCCATCGGGCTGCTGGGTAGCTTTGAGCTTCCCACTGACAGAGGGGTTAGGGTGGAAGACCCCGTGAGAGCCTGGACCTAAATGTGCAGAGCATGTGCTGAATTGTGGCAAGAGTCAGTCTCCCTGCCCCAGCCCCACCCTGACCTCAGGGCTGAGTATCCTGAGCACTGACACTGGCCAGCACCCTACTGCAAGATATCAGAAAAGGTTTTTTTTTTTTTTTTTTTTTTTTTTTTAGGAGGGCAGCAGAGGCAGTGATGGGGAGCCCCTGGGAACCCCTTGAAATTGCAGGAAAAGTCTTTACATGGGAAGAGAGGGCGCAGACATGCAGGTGGTTGCTGAGAGCTTAGGTAATTCTGCCATCAATGACAGTACAGCCTCATTTGCACCCACAGCTGCCGATGCCTCGGTCTTATTTGTGTTTCCTGTTTTGATTGAATGTTTCACCCACCACACCTCGGTTTCTCATGAGTCAAGAGTGGCATTCATTCAGTCGGGTGGCAGTTTCCCACAGAGGACCATCTTTTCACCAAGAAGATCTGAGAAATGCTGATTTAGCCCGATGGGTGTGGACAGAATCTAATACCAATGCAGAAATAGATATTGCAATACTATACTTGAAACTTTTCCAGATATCCATTCCAATGATATCCCAGGAGAAGTTAGTCACATTAGTGTCCCATGAACAAGTTAGAGTTCATTCGACACTGGTGAGGAATTTATTGGCGAACCAATAAAACACAAGGGGTCTCCTGGTCCCCTGACCAAGATGCTGCCCCCTCTTCACCTGGAAGCTAGCCGGGGGTGTGGGAACTAAGATCTTGAGATGTTATTGACCGTGGCCGCAGCCTTGCTCAGGCATGGGCTAGCACAGCTCCTGTGGCTAATGCTGTTCTCACCTAACTGCAAGCCATTGCTGGCAAGCTAGGGGGTCCTTCAGAACACCTGAGAGATCACAATCCATCCCCAAGATGTGGACCCTTTGTCATGGTGACTCCATGGTAGCATCACTTTATTTATAAACTAAATGAAAGAAATCCTCAGTCATGTCTGTTCAGAATGAACCATTTTCTTTGGAATCAGGACACCTGAGCGGAGCTACAAAGAGTTGTCTACTTTGGGGGTAACACACAAAGGAGAACTGTTGCCTACCTCTGCCTATTGTTTTCTGCAGTAGAAATTGCTAACTCTCTTGTGGTGGCTTTACGGGGCCTAAACACCAAAGTTTATCGTCAGGGCAGAAGTTAGCTGTCATTGCTTCGAAGCCCATCAGTCAGTCAGTTGGGAAGCTTGGTACATGGGGCCTCCATTCACCTCCCACCAAGCTTCGGTGATATATGCAACGGGACCCGTTCAGAGCCCAGGAATGTCAGAGTCAGGAGGGCCTTTGCTTCCGGCTGCCATGTTTCAACTGCTGGGGTGAAAACAGGCTGCACTCTCCTGGCTACAAAGGAATGGGGTTGGACTCTGGTGCCGCAACTTCCACAACACCATGTGCTTCTCCTGTAGAGTCCTTATGCTAGTGGGCAGATTTTTCATCTGTGTGATAGTTTGTCTCCCTCCCACTCTGTCTTATAAGTGACACGAAGACAGATGCTATGTCTTTGGCTCGTCTTTCTATCCCCGGCATCTAGCACGGTCCTTGTGTATTGAAAGAATGAGTGAATGTATGAATTAAAAGCTCCTGGGGAGTATGAGAATGGGGTCCTCAATCTCTAGAGAAGAAAACAGGCCCAGAGAAGCGACAAGTTACCCAAGATCATGTCTTAAAGAAGTGACCATGGTCTTTGCAAAAACCTAGAGTACAATTGTGTCCCAAAGGGAGTGGTCTTGGGTACAACTGAGAAAGATGTTGCTTCGTCTATAGTCCCCACGTCCATGGTTCCCAAAGCTCGAAGAGGACCATTGATTTCTTAGGGCTCCTGCTTCACATGGGGCCAAATTATCACAGGGAGGATGTGAGACCTCACAGCCTCAGCTGTGAATCTCAGATTCCTCCGGCGTTACCCTGTGTTTCCTCAGCAGGGATTGCCATGCATGCATGTGTGAGTGTGTGTGTGTGTGTGTGTGTGCGTGCGCGCACATGTGCGTGTGTTTTCTGTCATTCTCTGAAATGTTCTTCAGCCCTCCCACACCCACGGGAGGTGGGAGTCTGTTTTGTAGCTATGCCTACAGTCTCTCCACTGCCCAAGGTACTTCTGTGGCTTCTGAGCATAAAAATAGAATAAATAAAATAAAAATTTTAAAAACTCTACTGGCCAAGCACTGGCACCCGTATACGACGTTCTTTCTAGCCTGTATCCACTTGAAGGGTTAGCAGAATCACCACATGGTTGTCTTAAGGATTTTGGTTTTTCTGATGCTGCCCCAAAGGAAAGGTGGACAGGTCCACACAGTCTCTGCTGAAGAGACTTCCTGTTCTCTGTTTAGGAAGGGAGATCTCTAAAGATCAGGGGGCTGTGGGGCCCAGGGCCCAGGAAGAACCAAGGAAGGAACTCACCAGAGGTGTGGGGACCACAGAAGAAACTTGACTGGTTTTCTGGCTTCTAGCTATGCCGGTACCTGTAATTGCCCCAGGGCAGAAGGAGGCACAAAGCTTAAGAGCCATTCCTCCCTTGGCTTAAGACTACAGTTGAGGCCAATGGCCTGTGCTCTCCTGCTCCTGACACTTCTCAAGGAGACTTTTCTGTCTGCTTATCCAGTGGCCCCAGAGGTCCTTCGATAAGTCCCTCTAGGCGAACAAAAACTTTCAATCAAAGAGTAAGGCCGCCTCCCAAGCCTGCGTGCCGGGACCTTGCACACATGGGGACCCACGCCTTTGTCACCGTGAAGCAGAATCTACCCCTGCCTGTGGGCTGACTGCATTGACCTTCATGGTTCCGGGCAACAGAGGAGGGACACATTCACTCACGTGAAAGCTGTTCTGTGGCCCCTTTCATTTCACCTAATCCCCATCCCCAATGGCCCCACCCCCCGTCTATTCCTCTGGCTTCTCCTCCTCTTAGACAAATGGCTAGTTACAGAGATGACCCCCAAGCCTGTGATCAGTATGCAGATGATGAGAACCGACATCCTGGAAGGAATCACAGATTTCACGTTGATTAAAAAGAAACTACCTTTTGGTTCTGGGCTCAGCATCCCGTTTCCTGGGATCTGTGCCTCTGCCCCGCCCCTGCCCCCACCCAGGTCCAGTAGCTCCTGGCCATCATGTCCCTTCATGCCTGTTCGGACCCCAGGCTGGCGATCTGACCAAGCAGAGCTGAGCCCCTTCCTCAGAAAGGAACGTGGATCCAGAGCAGGAGCATCCAGGGTTTGGACTGGATGGTCTCTGGAACAGAGGAGACAGAAACTCTGGAGCTAGAAATGGCCACAGGAAAGGGCAGTGCAGAGAGAGAGACAGAGAGGAAACAAACACACATGAGAGCAGCAGATCAGAGACAAAGTCCCGAAGACACTCCAGACCATTTCTGGGGTGCCGCGTCCTGCCCTTCATGCACGCGACCCCACTCTCCCCTTAGGACGGATCTGCCTTTTCAATTAACATCAGGAGAGGGACTTTTCGCTACTTGCGTTCAAGAGTCCTAAACTGTACTTTTCTGAAAGAAACCACGCATCCACGTTGATGCTACCTAGTTCAGGCGGAGAACCAACACGCAGCTGAAGGGCAGCAGGTGCAAATCAATCGCCACACTGTTGTCCTTGTCCCTCTCACCCCCTAACGCCGGTCTGTTAGGGGTTCGACTCAAGGTCCGACTCCCCTGCAGGGATTGGCCTTGTGCACATTGGCTGCCCTGCAGCTCCCGCTCCTGTTACTGGAGAGAGGTCTGCAGCAGAAAGGGCGGGCGGAGGGTCAAGCGAGGCCAGTCCCCGGGCCTGCCCTTCGCCTTCTGCATCTCTGTGTCTCTGCCCGTCATTCAGTCCCCAGAGAATGAGTGTTCTGGGCAATGGCTGGGTGGAGCAGAGGCAACGAGTGTAGCTGAATAAAGGCGCCCTGTGCAGGGCAGAAGCCGGAAGGAACAAGTAGGGGCTGAAATCCAGCCCACCGTCTTACGCCCTGCCACTGGACGCCTGGAGGAAGGGCCACCTTTCCAGACATGCACAAAAGCCCTGGGTGGACTCGAAGTGGCCCATGGTTAGAGAGTCCCAGGCTGAAGGCGATGGTACCAGTGGCACAAGGGGGCCAGTCGAGTCTTTAAGGAATGGAGCGACAGGTGGCATCATTGCCACACTGTGCTCCTGGCAGCCACCGAAACCCAGTGGGGGAAGTTCGGCCACGGCCACGCACATTGCCTTCTCTGGCAAATCTAGTCCGGGAGGAGCTCGGGTCTGTGTTTCACTGAAACTGAGGAGCACATTTAGGTGAGACCTCTTTCATCCCAAGCCCGAAACAATGCAGGAGAAACATTTTAGGTGTGAAGGCTGTTGCACATTCAGTAAGATGCTTATTAGACAAATTGCTAGTTGGGTCAAGTATGAGCAAGACTGCCTTTCTAGCAGCAGGAGGCTTCCTCTCGCTTCCCTTATGTCCTCGGTTTGTTTTCCCACCGGCCTTGTGTTCTGGATTATGATAGAAAGGCGTCCCTTCTAGAAATGGAAACACTGAGAAGCCATGGAAGGAAAAAGAGAAAGGCGAGAGCTTTCCATAAGCTCTTTGCCTGAGTAGATGTACAAAGAGGTTTGCAACATTTCACAGAGGAATTCTGGTGAGCATCGAGAGCTGGGTCCAGCCCGGGCCGGCTTCGACAGACCCCTGCTACAGGCTCCGGTTCAACCTACGCCCACCCAACAGCCTCCCGGTGTAAACTGCCCTCCTGACCAGTTTGGCCATGATAGTTACCCCTGTCGATTATGCAACTATTTCAGCAGACAGTCTTTGAAGGTGCTCATCCAGACACCCAGCTCATTTTACACAGCCTCGCTCACCTCTCAAGAAACAGATCTTTAAGATTCTAGGCCTGCTAGGTTGGCCACAGGGCACAGACGTGTAGTGACAACCTCTGAGCCTTTTCTGGCCAGCAACACAGAGCTCTCCCACCCGTCAGCCCCCATGAGCCTCTCGAAATTGCCAGGAGCCAGCTCGCTGTGAGGGAAGGGTTCCAAGAGCACCCCTGAGCCCACACACCCTCCTCTTGCCCAAATTCCAAGTTAATCCCCAGCACCATCAGCACCCACCCTACTTTGGAGAAAAGGCGATGCCAGGTTACCCCAAAGAACCCAGGGGGAGCCTGACTCGGTGCTCCCTGGCCCCGGTGAGTCTGTGCCACACCAATGAACACCCATGACTGCGGGCTACCCCTGATTAGACCCCTGGCCTCCCTACCTTTCCCAGACCAAAAATCACTGGCGAGACATCTTCTGTTGTCAGTTGCTACCAGCTCTGTAAAATCTATGTGGTCCCTGGCAAAGCCCCACAGGATGCCACACCAGTGCCAGCCCGTATCCTCCTGGTCGGGCAGGACACAGTGATGGTGCGCTGGCTTCCTGTGTCCTTCAGGGCCACGTGGTCAGGACTGTTGGGTGTGAAAGCAGTGATGGTGCAGAAGTCCCAGAAATAGCCTCGGTACCAGAATTTGGGGTCGTCCTTCTCGTGGGTGTTGTGCTCGCAGATGGCAGAAGCTGTGTCCAGCACAAAGCTTTCCTTGGCCTTTTCGTCCATGACCATGGCATCTATCGAAACACACGTGAGTGTGCAGGCACACGTGTGTGCACACGCACGCACACACACATACACGCCCCACCATTTTTTAAAACATGTTGCAGCAACTGACATTCTGGAGCAAAATCAGTTAAAGCATTGGAGGCCGATTTTTTCTTTTGCCAGTTCTGAGTTAGTGACTGTTATGGCGGAAAGATGTCCCCCTAAAACTCACACGTTGAAGTGTTAACCTCTAGTGCCTCAGAATGTGACGGATTGAGCCGTTAAGGAGGTAATTAAGTTAAAATGGCATCATTAGAATGAGCCCTAATGCAACCTGACTGGTGTCCTTACGAAAAAGGAGTTTAGGGGGTGCCTGGATGGCTCAGTCGGTTGAGCGTCCGACTTCAGCTCAGGTCATGATCTCACGGTTCATGGGTTCAAGCCCTGTGTCAGGTTCCCTGCTGACAGCTGGGAGCCTGGAACCTGTTTCGGATTCTGTATCTCCCTCTCTCTCTCTGCCCCTTCCCCACTTGCACTCTGTCTCTTTCTCTCTCTCAAAAAAAAAAAAAAAAAAGAAAAGAAAACATTAAAAATTTTTAAAGAAAAAGGAGTTTAGGACACAGAAAACAGGCCGAGGGACAGTCCCTGGCAGGACACAGGGAGAAGGCAGCCCTCTGCCAGTCAAGGAGAGCCGTGTCCGCAGAAAACAAAGCTGCCCACATCTCGATCTTCGACTCTCCAGCCTCTGGAAATGTGAAGAAATCGATTCTGTGGCTTCGGCCAGCCCATCCGTGGCGTCTGTTACGGCGGGACTGGCAAGCTTGTGCAGCAGCCCTGGAGAAGTTTTGTTCCCTGGCTGGAGGGGGGGCACCAAACATGGATCTCGTGCAAGAAGGTAGAAGGCCTCTCACCGTCTCTTGTTGGGGGGCTCGAGGAGCCCAAGGCTCACTGTTAGCAGATCCTCTGCTCCCCCGCCCCCCAGCCCCCCACTCCGCTGTGGACCCTCAGGAAGAAAGTGAGAAGGTTCAGAGGCTTCTGCTGGCTGCAGCGGGCTGGGGACAGAGGGGGTCCCATTCTGTCCTTAGGAGCCGAGAACCTCCTGTTCCCTCCGGACAAGACCTGCGCGGGCAGCTCTGCACGTTGTGTGGCGAGGAGGTCATGCGCACCGTGTCCCCCTAGCAGGTGGCTGGGGTGGGGGGTATCTGAACAAGGAGCAGAGATGGGAGCAGGGGCCCCTCTCTGTCAGCTAGGCCCCCCTCGGATGCTGCCTGAGACCAGCCCGCATGGCAGGCCCACGTTGCTGATGTGAACTGATGTGACTTGATGTTTTGTTCTCCTACCAACCTCACAAGGAAGATGGGGCGATGCCCAGCTTACAGGCCCAGACGCTGACCCAGGGAGAGGCACGACAGCTGTCAAGGTCAGCGCGCCAGGGGGTGGGGGCAGCAGAGCCAAGGCTGGTTCCCCGAGTCCCAGCCGAGGGATGTAGCCCGGAGACAGCCTGGAGGAGGTTCCTGTGACACTCATCTCTAAACCTGAAACCAGGGTGGAGCTCACCACTTCCACCCGAGCCCCTCACCGGGAATACTTAGTTCATCTTTTCGGAGTCCACTCCAAAAGGCATTCTCATTTTATGGGCTTCTGCTGGGCTGGCGGAATATCTTAGCTCAGGACAGTCCCATTTCACCAAAACAAAACAGCACATTAAAAAAAAAAAAAAAGTGACTCCCCGGGGCGCCTGGGTGGGTCATTCCGTTGAGCTGAGCGTCAGGTCTCAGCTCAGGTCATGATCTCTCAGTTCGTGAGTTCGAGCCCCACATTGGGCTCTATGCTGACAGCTCAGAGCCTGGAGCCTGCTTTGAATTCTGTGTCTCCCTCTCTCTCCGCCCCTGCCCTGCTCACACTCTGCCTCTCTCTGTCTCTCAAAAAACAAACATATAAAAATTATTTTTAAAAATGCAATTCCCTATAAACCCTCAGTGGATTTGCTAAGCAGTGGCCTTGAGAAAGAAAAAGGGATGAGGGGAGCAGTGGGGAGGAGAAGAAAGGGAAAAGAGAGGAAAAGAAGTTTTTTTTTTCCTGAAACTCAGAAAAAGATGAGGCTACTGCTCCTTTTCTGACACCAAATGACCCAGGACAGGCTGCTGCTTTGTTTTGAGGGAAGTGGTCCCTTTAAATCAAATTTCCCAAAACAGTAGATGTTAAGTGTTACTACAGCAACGGACTACAGGTTGTTTATAAATTGTGGAGCAGCCTGTGTTTGGGACTGAAAACTCACCAGCACTTCCCTCAAGGGTCCAACCGGCAGTGGTGGTTTCTGGTCAGCAGAGGGCAACAGGGTCACCAGAAAATTCCACACTAAACCTGGGGCCTCACCCTAAAGGGGCATTTTAACTATGCACAAGAATTAATTCTGAAGGGAAAGCCTTAAATCAAACAAGGGGATCCCTTTAAGGGGGAAAATTTGTGGAAGTTTGGGGGCTGGCACTTGGATTTTTATTAAAATTTTTAAAAATCTTTATTTATTTTTGAAAGTGAGACACAGACAGACAGCATGAGCAGGGGAGAGGCAGACACAGAATCTGAAACAGGCTGACAGCTCAGAGCCTGACATGGGGCTCAAACTCAGAAACCGTGAGATCATGACTTGAGCCGAAGTCGGACGCTTAACCAACTGAGCTACCAGGCACCCCTCGGATTTTTAAAGAAAATAGATCCCCAAATGTTGAAGGGGAGGCTGCTGGGATGAAGGTATCCTCCCACACTTCCAGGGACAGTGGAGTCCAGGTCTGGTCATTGCCTTTAAGATAGATTGTGGGCAGTGCAGGGAAGTGGGTGGGTGGGTGACCAACTCAGTTTGTCATCAGTAGGAAAGTAGACACAAGTTTTTCAGCTTCCCAGAGAGTGTTCTTCTTCCTGGGGTGATGGGGAGGGACCTTTACTGAAATGAAATGTTAACTAGATAAATATGGTTATCGTGCCCTGGCCTTAGACTGTGGTCAGGATAAACTTTCAGAATCAGCTAAGAACTAATAAAAAAAAAAAAAAAAAAAACCATCTTCAGTACACTTATCCTCTTTGAAGTGGATTAATTGAAATCCCATCTTACTGCTCTCATCAAGTTTATATATTCATTGTTTACAGAAAGCCCGCAACTGCAAATGTGCATAGGCCAACCCAGAGACGCGCCCTTGAATCTCCGGAGCCACGCTCAGTGCTTGCAGGATGCAGCTGGAGCTCTATCCCTGCCTGGTGTCCTGATTAATTAGAGATCAGCAATGGTACCTAAGGCAAAAGTCCCCAAACACGGCAGTGCTCGAGCATACAAACCCTAATTTGTATCCATGTGTCTGCTAATCGTACATTAGATGAACTTGAGAGTTTGGACTTTGGAGAGGTTACAATTCCCTCTTCGTGTATGAGGATAGGTGGTGAGGAGTTGGGTTCTCCCAAAAGGCAGGGCCGAGTTTAAATCCGGGCTCTGCTACTTGTTCACTGTTTGACTATAGACACGTTATTTAGCCTCTCTATTCCTCCATTTTTCTTCTGCACAGTGAAGATGGTAATAGTGGTGGCACCTACCCCAGAGAGTGTCAGGATCAAGGTATGCAAAGTACCTAGTGCATAGAAAGTGCTCACCAAATAATAGTTATCCTGTGTCTCTTTTTTGCCTCTTTTGCCTCTTCTCTAACAACTGATGAATGTGGTTCATGAAGTTGGCAAATGCTCCGATCAGCCCAGGAAAAAGGAGCAGGGTGTTCTAGGCAAGGAGAGAGGGGCCCAGAGTTCAAACAGGTGAACATGGCATGTGGCAAGCAGGTTGGGGGTCTGCCAGCCCCGAGTGGCCCTGACCCTCAGCAGGGGGCTACACAATAGTTAGCCATCATCTTTTATTTACTCAAATACATTTATCCAAATACTGGTGAATTCAGCAGTTTAAGTCCCCCTTTGTTAAACTCTGTTCCCACCATCTCTGCAGGATCTGCTGGCATAAGGTTCTCTGCTTAGTTCCACGACAGAGAGGGGCTGAGTCCCCACTCCACATATCCAGACAGATCGGGACCTTTCATCAGTAAGTCAACAAAGCATCCTTCAGATTCCTTGACTTCTTCCCAAACCTGGAGGCAGTAGTAACAGTAGAATACTTTCTCCAAGTCAGGCGTCCAGAACATAGAATCAGAAGAAAGACAAGGAAAAAATTGGATAATGGAGAGGAGTGTCAGGGGGTTCCAACTGGAGGCAGCCAGTCAAATGCTCCTCACCTCAGTAGAAGGAATTAAGGACATGAAAGCCCTTGGCTCAACTGGAGAGGTCTTCAAGTGTTTACTGATGTTGAATCCGAAGGTCAATGGGATAAAGAGTGGTCTTTCGTGGATCACTACCCAGAAGTCTGATCAGTGCTTGGGTCCAAGGAATCAGAGGACTGGCAGATCATACAGGTTTTGAAGATCAAAACATAGGTTTCTTTGAACTTCTTTATTTTATAAGCATAGACAATAGGGTTCATCATGGAGTTAGCGTGGGAGAGCAAAATGCCCAAGTACAGCATAATTTGTGGCACTTCGCCATGGAAGTAGGTGATACAGTTGATGATGGATAAAGGCAACCAGGACAAAGCAAACAGGAAGAGAACCAGAAACAGAGACTTGGCCGTCTTGAACTCCCGTCCGTAAAACGTGCCTGTCTCTTTGGAGCTCGAAAAGCTCTGATTGAGTTTGTTCCGGATGACATAGAATATGTCAAGATAGATGGCACACATGACAACCAGGGGGATTAAAATCCAAGTGAAGAAGCTGAAGTAGACCATGTAGTCCATCGTCATGACTGAACGGAACCGGCATGAAAGGAAGGTGACATTTCTGTAGTGTTCCGAGGTCAGTTTCATGTTCCAGCCAAACATGGGGGTCAGTCCCACCAGGAATGACACCAGCCAGCAAAGGCCCAGGGCCAACCATATTCTTCTTTGAGTGGTGAGCCTCCTGTATCTATTTGAATGGAAGAGAATGGGTGAGTCCACAGGAGGAATTGCTAAAGGAGTTGTGGGGGGTGGGGATGGGGGAGTCTGTAAAGCATTGGCATTCCTGCAAATTTCTCCGGGGACTTTTTAAAAAAATATATTTTTTAATGTTTATTTATTTTTGAGAGACAGAGAGAGACAGCAGGAGCAGGGAAGGGGCAGACAGAGAGCGAGACACAGAATCCGAAGCAGCTCCAGGCTCTGAGCTGTCAGCACAGAGCCCGACGCCAGGTTCGAACTCACGGACCACGAGATCATGACCTGAGCTGAAGTCAGACGCTTGACTGACTGAGCCACCCAGGCATCTCCCCTTTTATAAAAAAATGAAGACAATGTAGAATGGACAATGTAGAATTAGAACTATGTTGCTACACTCACAGCTCAAGAATTCCTTGACTCCTGTGAGGATAAGAGTTTTCTAAGTCTCCTGGCATCACCTACCTGGTGAGAAATGATCTCAAAGGTTTCTGGCTGCCCTCTGCCTTGTTTCATTTGGCGGTTTTGCTGAAGCCCGCGAATTATACTTTGCCACCCTCCCCCCCCCACCTCTCCCCCTACCTGTGCCTGCCCCTGCTTCTCTCTTCGCAATGGTATCCACGCTTGGTGTTTGAGTCACTTGGGTCTGTGGAGTTGTGGAGGTCATGTTCAAGTGCTTCCAGGACCTAAAACAACTCATCCACCAAGAGTCATCATCTCTTCCTCCACCATCCTTCCGGACAACATTCCACACAGACTATGAGAAGAAAACTGACTGTGTTAAGTACCAACTGTGTCCTCAGGAGACTTTAGCTCAGTTAAATCGCACAACAGGGGCACATGGGTGGCTCAGTTGGTTGAGTGTCTGACTTTGGCTCAGGTCATGATCTCGCAGTTTATGAGTTCTAGCCCTGTGTCAGGCTCTGTGCTGACAGCTCGGAGCCTGAAGCCTACTTCAGATTCTATGTCTCCCTCTCTCTCTGCCCCTATCCCTACTCATGCTCTGTCTCGCTCTCAAAAATAAATAAACATTAAAAAAAATAAAAAATCTCACAACAAATGAAAACTATGTTTATGATAATGTCCATTTCATTGCTGACTAATGAGGAAAACGATAGTTTGGACTACCATTGATCAAGCACAGACTAGGCAGGCATTTTGGGTTTTTTTTAGATAGATATTATTTTTTTGTTTATTTATTTATTTTGAGAGAGAAAGAGCACAGTGGGTGAAGGGGCAGCGAGAGAGAGGGAGAGAGAATCCCAGGCTGGCCCTTAACTGTCAGCCACACTGGGCTCAAACTTAAAAACTGTGAGATCATCTGAGCGGAAATCAAGAGTGGAATGGTTAATTGACTGCCCCATCCAGGCGCCCTGGAGGCATTTCTCTAAGAGCTTTACATGTGTGGACTATGTAATTTTTTTTTAAATGTTTATTTATTTATTTTGAGAGGGAGGCAGGGGCAGAGAGAGAGAGAGAGAGAGAGAGACAGAATCCCAAGCAGGTTTCACGGCTGTCAGTGCAGAGCCTGACAGGGGCTCGGGATCACAAACCATGAGATCATGACCCGAGACAAAACCAGGAGTCAGATGCTTAACCGACTGAGCCACCCAGGCACCCGAATCTATGGAATTTTATGAGGAAGTTGCAGTTACTGTCTCCACTTAATAGGTGAGAAAAAAAAACGGGCAAGTAACCTGCACAAGCTGGAAGCGGCAGAGGTAAAAATGGAAAGGAGGCAAGTCTGAGTTCAGAGTGTCTTAACCACTGTGGAAAGATGAGGAACCAAAGCAGAGAAAGTTAAACAACTTGTCCCAACTCAGAGCTCAAGGTCTGGGCTTAGACCTCTCTGGCTTTTTAGTATCTATCAAAAGCTTGTTCGCAGGTTCCTCTGCAGGTCTCTTCCCCAAGGCCAGAGAGCAGGAATATAAGACAATTACCATTCAGGACACCTGGGGAATGAGATGTCTCCATTGGCAGGTCTATTCTATTCAGGAACAGTTATTATTGTTTTCTGCAGTGGAGAACTTTTTGACTGCCTTCTCTACATGGAAGAGGAAGCAAAGTTAAAGTAACTTTAAAATAACCTACATTTGCAAAGGACGGAACCATCCATTTATCTCCTCCTTTTCTTTTCTGTTCGCTCCTTATATTATCTAGTGGGGTTCCAACATTTCTAAAACGCAAGGACATTTTTTACTACTTAAAGATGCATAAAGCTTTCATCATCCTTAGCTGCCCCTGGGGCCAGAGCATACGCGCCCACAGTCAGTGGAGAGGGATCGAACATTCCTCAGTTCCAGAGTCCCAGTTCAGCATTGTTAAACCCCTCACACACCAAATGGTGAACAGAAATGTAGTGCCCTCTTTCAAGTTCAGAGGCCAGTCTGGATTTGTTTCCACTGAAAAATTGTCTGGGATCTGAACTGTGCAGCCCCATGTCCCAGGCACCTCCATCACACCTGCCCTCTTACCTGACCGTGAGCTTGACCCGCAGGTATCGGTCCACAGCAATGGCGAGCAAGGACATGATGGAGGCGTGGGTGAAGATCAGCAGCAGGCAGGTCATGAAAAGGCAGTTATAAAAGTGGATTGTGATGCCCAGGCTGATGACAATGGCCAAAGGCATGACCAGCACCCCAACAGCAATGTCAGCCAGGGCCAGGGAGACGATGAAATAGAAGGTGGTGGTCTGCAGGCTGGGGTTCAGCTTGACCACCCAGATGACCAGCACATTGCCCACTATGGCACAGAGCCCGATGAGAATCTCCACGGTGATGTAGGTCACATTGACCAACAATAGGGCAGTGCCATTGACAGCCATCTTGCTCTCCCCAAGGAGCCTCCTAAGTAGTAGTCGTGCTGACAGGATCCGTGTGGACCTGGTGAGTCAAGCTCTTCTTTCCAGGTACCTCACTAGGAAGTCCGGGTGTAGCAGCAAAGTCTGAAACTCACAACTCGCTCATTTCTTCTCTTCTCCGATGACACACTCCCGTAGAGACACCCCCCTCCACAACCTTTTCTTAGAGAGAACCCATTGGGGGGCAATCACTTCTTGCCTCTTTGCGGGCCACACATCCCTGGGTTCCCGGAAGCGTGGAGACAATTCTATGTGGGCTGAATCTGAAAGTGCTGCGGCTCTTAGTTCCCCAGACTGACACGCTCAAGACCTCTGCCTTCTGTCCCCAGAGGGCTACCCGAGCTCCATCAAGATAAGCAACCCTCTTCAGGGGTGTTTCAGGAAGTAAGATGGGCCAAGAGGAAGCACAGACCAGGAACGTTCAGCAAGAAGATGGAAAGAGAAGAGGAGGGGTGCGAGGGGCATGGAGTAGGCTCCAAATTCATTCACTGGGGGACCGGATGGAAGTGTAGTGCTCTGTGGGAGAGCAGTGGAAACACAGAGTCTTCTATTCTGGCTTTCTGCTGACTTAGCAGAAAGATCCCGTGACAAGGAGACAAACAGGAGCCACAGGGGAACAAGAAATAGATTTTGGTGGCAGCTTTAGCCAGAATTTGTGTTTTTTAAAGTGCATGTTATATAGACTGACTGTGTCCCTCCAAATTTATATGTTGAGATCTGATCCTCAAAGTGATGGTATTAGGAGGTGGGGTCTTTAGGAAGTGCCTGGGTCATGGGGATGGAGCCCTCAGGCATGGGATTAGTGACTTATAAGAGACACCCCAAAGAGCTCCTTCACCCCTCCTGCCATTCATGAACCAGGAAGCTGTCTCTCAACAGACACCAAAGCTGCCAGTGTCTTGACCTTGGCCTTCCCAGCCTCCAGAACAGAGTTTCTACAGCTTATAAGCCACCCAGTCTTCAGGACTCTGTTACAGTAGCCTGGACAGAAGACTAAGACTGTGCAGACGGCAAGCACCGAGGCCAAATGGGACCCAGCTTTTTGCATCAAAGACCCCTTGTCCAGGGGCCTGGGTGGCTCAGTCAGTTAAGCATCTGACTTCAGCTCAGGTCACGATCTTGCAGTCTGTGAGTTTGAACCCCGTGTTGGGCTCTGTGCTGACAGCTCGGAGCCTGGAACCTGCTTCAGATTCGGTGTGTCCCTCTCTCTCTGTCCCTCCCCAACTCACACAGTCTGCCTCTCTCTGTGTCTCTCAAACATAAGTAAACATTAAAAAATTATATATATATATAAGATCCTTTGCCAAAGGGACAAGCTAAGATCCCCTGCTTAGAAGGGCAAAAATACTCAGCGCCTCCCATGAGCATCACATCTGCTGACTCCACATTTCCCCTTGCCAGCCCACAGGCCCACCAGTGTCTCACTTGCCCTCATACCAGCAGCCACCCCAGTGACAAATCTCTTTGAGGAAGAGCAGGACCACAAGATGACCAGCCAGGCAGAAAGGAGGGAAAGGGCCACGCGTGCACACAATCACACAGCACACCCCTCCCACTCGGCCACCCTCACCTGCACGTAAAGAGGAACCAGACCCCTTCCCTGGAGGTTGCTCATCACCTGGTCTGAAGCTTCTGGAAATCAGACACTTAGATGCAGTTGTTACTTAAGGTCCAGGTTAAGGCTCAGGTGCGTCTGGGTCCTGCCAGAGGGGTTATTTAGAGAGCCAGCAAGAAGGATGGGTGGGCCTGAGCTCACACAGTGGATCAAAGGGTTTGTAATAGTCGCCTTAAATAACCCCAATCCGTGTGCAGCCGGAACCAACACCGACGACAGCGTTGTTCCCGTCCTTGCCCGGACTGGTGAGAGGCCTCGGGGCCGTGGCCTCCTCGCCGTCCTCTGCTCCCTCCACCTCATCTCAGGTTGGCCCAAGTCTGAATAACCTTGCCTATGCCTCCTAGACTTGCCACTTCACCCTGGCCGAACCTCCCAGACATTAAGAGGCGCTCTCCCCAGCAGCATCTCTGCCATTCCAGCTTTTTCTAGGGTCAACCATGTCCGCATCCCTGCACTGTGAGAACTGGAGAAGTCAGCCTACAGCGTGGCTTCTCACAAAAGGTTCTACTGCAACTGCCTTCTTTATCTCTACTTCAGAGGAGGAAGTCACAGACAGCAATTTCCAGGAGGCTGTGTGCTACCGAGAGAAGTCGCTCTCGCCCTAAAGCAGTTGTTGAATCTTGGTGACCCGCTGTGAAAAAGACGTACCCTCTCCGCTGGCCCTTTGCCACCAGGTAGCACTGAGTAGCCAATATGTGAGAGAAAGATGCTCTGGTGTGGGGACCAGCCATGTCGCCAGGCTGGGGTGAATGTACAGTAAGGGGGTGGTTTCTTGGGGGGGCTTGGCCACCCCAAGTCTGCCTTGCCCCACGTTTGAGAGCTGATCAGACAACAGACAGCGCCCACATTTACAGAAAGAGGTGGTGGAGGGGAGCTGCGTGGTTATGAACCGGAAGCTGGGGGAGGGAGAAGGTGGTAGAGGCCAGGAAAGTACCTGAGCCACGGATCCAGCCATGGAAAGTGGACCGAAGCCTTGGGGATGGATTCTACAGCTAGAGCTGGAAACCTGATTCTTGCCCCTTTCATCCTCCCTTAGGACCTGAGTGAATCTTTCTGGATCTAGCCCATCTCGGCTGGGTTAGAGAAGCCATGGAGAGGGCTTTGTGTCCCCACACCCGTGACAAGAGCAGTGTGGTAAGTGCAAGAATAGCCTGTGAGAGAATAATCCAGGGGGAAAAGGAGGGCCCAGGCTGCACCTGGGACACCTTGACCTACCCACCTCTTCCCACCTGAGAATTCTGTCTCCTGAATTCTCTGGACATTTCCTGTCTGGGAACAAGGCAAGGCCAAACCCATCCGTGCTCAGGGGGTGATTGGAGGGATGAGGAGAGAGATTTCCACATTACTTAGCATTTTTGCCTCGTATTGGGTCCTGAGCTAACTTTTCGCTCCAGGCCGAGCACCAGAAGCCAGCCTGGAAAAGAAGACAGAGAGGCCAGGGCAGATGGTCATCTTGCTTCCCCACCCCCCAACACACACCCTACAGCTGCTCTTGGGTAACTTCCCTCATGTCTCATGGACACACCGTCTCAGCCCCCCGAGCCTTCTCCAGAAGCAAGTCCCCCCACAGCCTCTATGCAGCCCTCAGGATCAAGTCCGGCCTCTTTGGAATGACAAACGAGACCCTTCGAGGTGGGGTCTCCCGGCCCCGCAGCCTCCTGGTGCCTGGATTCCCCCCACCTCCCAAACCACAAGCACCACCATGATTTCCTCTCCGGTGTGCGTCTAGCTTAGAAAGCTCTTCTCCCCGTGTCCACCTAGAGCACATGCACTTTTCCTTCAAGACTATTCTCAAACAGGACCCTGAAGAGAATTTCCCAGACATTCCCTCACCCTGCTGTGTTTATAAGCCTCTCCCCTGATATCTATGCCCCTGGAGCGTAGGGGTCTCCATTCATCATTTCTAGCCCTGCCACAATGCCTGGCAGATAGCAGATGCTCAAGTATGTTTCTGATGAATGAATGAATGAATGAATGAATGAATGAATGAATAGGAAAGCTCCTCAGTGAACCAGGGGGCATCAGCCTGGCACTAAGTACAGAATGCCAGCAAGTCAGCTAGGACCTGTTAAGTACGTTCCCTCGTACCACCTGCCACAGTGAGCGTTTTACTTTCATGGTCTCATTCAATGCTCTCTGATGAAATGGATACTATAATCATGGCTGAGCAAACTGAGGGTCAGAAAGGTGAAGTAACTTGGGGCGCCTGGGTGTCTCAGTCGGTTTAGCGTCCGACTTTGGCTCAGGTCATGATCTCACGGTTTGAGTCCGAGCCCTGCCTTGGGCTCTATGGGGACAGCTCAGCCTGGAGTCTGTGTCAGATTCTATGTCTCCCTCTCTCTCTGTCCCTCCCCTGCTCACGTTCTGTCTCTCTCTGTCTCAAAAATAAGTAAACACTAGGGGTACCTGGGTGGCTCAGTCGGTTAAGTGTCCGACTTTGGCTCAGGTCATGATCTCACGATTCGTGGGTTCGAGCCCCGCGTCAGGCTCTGTGCTGACAGCTAGCTCAGACCCTGGAGGCTGTCTTCGGATTCTGTATTTCCCTCTCTCTGACCCTCCCCTGATCACACTGTCTCTATCTCTCTCTCTCAAAAAAAAAAAAAAAAGTAAACACTAAAAAAAGAAAAAAGAAAAGAAAGGTGAAGTAACTTGCCCAGGATTTCACAGCTAGGAAGTTGCAGAGCCAGTGTTCAAACCCAGGCTCCTGGCTACAGTAACCGAATGGGCAAGTGAATAGCCATGTGAAGCTTTCACAAGTACAAGGCATCCCTGAACTTGACGTTGCCATATTATCATTAGGAGATGCTAACCTCATGCATGGAAAAGAAGGAGGCGCCAAGACCATGGGAACGGAATGCTAGCACAGTGTAGGTCTGGTACCTGCTCTGAATTACGGAGAGGTAGAGAAACGAGCAGGCCACTTGGTGGGGCCTCAGGGGGAGGTCTGGAATAGAAAGAAAATCTTTCGTTGGACCAGAGTGCCAAAAAAAAAATTGTAAAGTAATAAGTTATAAGTGAGATGTGGCTCAGGGGATTTCCCCATCTAAAAGAAGGCCGCGTCTGTTTCGGTTTTACTAAAAAAATTCCATGGAGAAGGCAAGGATCGGGGAGGCTCCATCAACCTGAACCACAGGAAAGGTCTCTGAAGTCCCAGGGAAAGGCCTCACCTATCCCAAACCCTGGCCTGACGCCCCTGGAGACAGTGCAGTCACAGGGCTGCAACCTTGCCCTTGGGGTTCTGCTTAATGTCATGAGAGGCTGGCCAGACAGATGTTCATTGGCTCCTTTGCAGCCTCTCAGACAAGCCTGAAAAGCCCCAGGAACCCCACTGCACTCAGAGCAAGATGCTGTGTGAATGGGAGCCCAGGGGAGAAAGAAAAAACCCTCTGGACCCTAGAAAGTGGTCCCGGTGGCCGCTGAGACAGAATGTGGGGCAGCCAGGAGGCAGGGGCTCCGGCCTGGTGCTGGCTCATGCGGACTCCACTGCTGCTTGCAGAGTTGCACAAAATCAGTTTGTCCGCTTCCTCTTGGCCCCGTCAGTCACCACTTCCCCAAAACCTTACAGTTGTACAGAGCTAGCCAACAGCGGAGGCTTAAAAAGAGTGAGGTGGCCTCTCCCAGCTCTTCCCTTCCTTGCTCTCTGTCAGCCCAGGAGGAGATGGCTGGGCCTTTCCACAAGCCTTCCTCCAGGGGCTGGTCTGGAGGCACTGTCCCCAGGGGGCTTCTACTAGGGCCTGCTGATTTGGGCCACACAGACTGTGGCCTGAGTTCAGGATACTCACCCAGAACCAGTAAGGGGCAGAGGGCGGGGGGAAGGTGGGAGAGGTCAAGGTTCCTTCACTCTGAGCAACAGGAAATCCTGCTCAACAACGGGAAACTCCTGGAGGGATGCATGCCTCACCCTCCAGACACCCCGGCGTACCACGTGTGTCAAAGGCCTCCAAGGCCCTAATGGAGAGTCCAGGGAAGGGTTCGGCTAACTTTAGGTTTGTTCCAGGTTCGAGGGACCCAAGATGTTCAGACTCCAAGAGTCTTACCCTGGGCAGAGGCTTCCCCGCCCCAGCTTCAAATGTCCACAAGGCTTATTCCTGTGCCTCTGCCGGGGCGCTATGCTCAGCAGTGACCACCAGGTGGAAGCACATTCCCACAGCCTCTCAGGACGCAGGCTGAGCGAGAAAACTAGAAGCTGGGAGGACTTGGTGGCATCCCCTTTCAGCGCCTTAGCCAGCGACCTCAGATGGTACAGAACGCGAAGGAATGGAGAATTAAGGGCAAAGGAGACAAGGATAGATCGCCAACTGCCTAAGCTCAATTCAATCTCATGGAATATTTCTGGGCCGCACTAAATTCAATGCTCTTGACTCAAGAAGAGAAGCCTCTTCTGCTTTCAAGCTTGTGAGTATTCCAAGAAAAACAGTGCTTGTGTTTTTCTCTAGAGTGCGCCATTCTGCCCACACACTCTGCTTCACTCAGTTAACGAAACCACCACCCGAGAGGCCCGTATTCTCCATCTCTGCTCACGGCAGAAGAAACTGAGGTCCGGAGGCTGGAGAGGTCTGCTCAAGGCCGTCTCTGTACCAAGGTCAGGGGGGCCGCAGGGACAGAAGCCTCTCACAGACTTCCTCATCTCAGGGGAGGACAGAGAAGACCGGGAGAGGGCTTGCCAGGTGAGGTCCCTGCCATACCTACGTCACTGGTCCCTCCCTTGGTACCTGCCAGGCTCTGGCCAGTCCTCTTCCTTCCGTGGGCAGTTTTGCTGGCCTTTGCCGGTGAGCCTCCTGTCCCGTGACTTCTCAAAACGCTCTGGGGGTCTTCACAACTCAGCCCCAGGCTTCTTGTAATCACCCATGCACGGTGTTACCCCAAATCCCAAAGCGGGCAGGCCTCAGGACTCAACTGTATATCCTGGTGTCAACCCCCACACTGTCTACACACCAGAACGTGCAGGAATGTAAACATTTAGTTTACAGCAAGGCCGTATCCTGTCCCCTCTTTTTTTTTTTAACCTTCCACCTAACATATGTGATGGTGCTCCTTAGTGAATTGGGTGCAAACCCCCTACCACAGCAGGGGAGAAGCATCCTCCATCTTCCCCTGACGTGTGTCTTCCCCTCCTCCTCCACAAGGCCTTTCGTATTTATTCTCACAACAGCCGCCATTGAGACAATGCCAATCACCGTGTGCTGGGCACGTTGCCACGTGTGTTTACAATTCTGTAGCAATCCTGTAGGTAAGTACTGTTAGATCCATTTCACAGAGGAGGAAACTAAGGTGTGGAGACAACTGAGTGACTTGTTCTCAGCAACATAGCCAGTGAATGACAGGGCCTGGGCACAGACCCAAGTCTGTCTTGGCTTCAAAGCCTTGGCTCTTCCCAGTGACCCCCATAAAACAGTACCGTATCAATTACGCCAAAACCCAGTTTGTCATTTGAGGCAGAAATTCTTCAGTGTCCTAATGGGTGAGCCTCGTGTCAGAGGCCGAGCCAGCTATTGGGGGCAGGGTGTTGTCACGTCGATTGTGTGCCCTCCAGCTTTGCTGAGAAGAGGGTGGTTCTGGGCCAGCAGTGGGCAGCCGACCGCTCTCTCTCTGCGTTCTCCACGTGCCTCTCTTGCACCTTGTCTGTGATCAGACAGCAGCACCATGATACCATATTGCATTAGTTCCCTGCTAAATGCCTTCCCTGAAAACCTGATTCTCTCTGCTTCTTATTAAACGTAAATATAGAAAGCTGTCATACGAAGTACGTCTCAGCATTTCATCATGACTGAGGGGAACGATCTGTGGCCATATTCCTTGTAGAAAGTTTCTTTCTAGGGTAGATTTCACTGAGGAGCTGAGTGCTAGCCAAGAGGTTGCTTTTCTTAATAAACTAGCTTGCTTTTTGTCACTGCTTAGCGGGAGAGCTTTGTGCAGCTCAGGTTGGCAAGGGCAGTGAAGAGGCTTGGAGATGGTGTTCTGTCTCAGTCACCATGCTTTGCATCTGTTTTCCAGGGCATCTTCAGGCCCATGTCATCCCTGAGCTCCTGATGTGAGAGCGAGTCTGTCATGCCCTATTCGTTTACTAGGAGCAACCTCCCATCCTTTTTGAAAGCAGGCAAGGTATGAGTAATAAACGTGTAGAACATTAGAAGGAGCACTAACGTTCTTTGTGAAGGGTGATTATGCCAGGCTGCTGTGCGAAGATTCTCATCAGGCCCTCCATAACTTTGGAGTGAGATTCTTTTCCTCGACAAGTGGTCCAGAATCCTATTTTATTTTCATTTGTTTTTTAAATGTCTATTTATTTTTTGAGAGAAAGAAAGAGAGAGAGATGGACAGAGAGAGGAAGACAGAGGATTCAAAGCAGGCTCCAGCTTTTGAGCCTGACACGGGCTCAAACTCATGAACCGCAAGATCATGATCTGAGTGGAAGCTGGACGCTCAGCCGACTGAGCCACCCAGGTGTCCCCACAATCCTATTTTAGATGACTGGTTTGGACAAAAGGGAAAAAAAATGATGAGGCTGAAAATGCCCCCTGGGGTTTGTTGAGCTCTTTGAGGAAAAGCTTTTAGTACAACTCCTGAAGTATTGCTCTCCAGCAAACACTATCTAGGAAACACTCCCTTAGGAATGGTGCTGTGCAGGGCCTACTATTATGATTCCCCCAGGTAGACTTTATTTTTATTTATGTACACCCCACCCACTTCCACGAAGGATTGAAGTCACTAACAGACTGAGTCAACAGCTTCCTCCCCTGTACACCCGCACCAGCTGACACATGCCTCTATTTGAGTGTGTATTATTACACCATTTGTAATTTATTTACATGACAGCTTCTCCCACTAGCTAGTAAAAGTAAACTCCATAAGAAATGCTGCCTTATTCAACCTGTAGATCTCCCTCCCAGTCCCCTTCTCCCAAAAGTACCAAGAGCCTAAAATAGAACCTGGCACAAACGAGACGGGGGATAAACCCTCACTGAACGTATAACGTGTTATTCTTGAGCCTGTCTTCTCCTCGCCCTACAAGAGTGCTGACCGCACCTCTCAGCATCCAGGGGGGAGTCAGGAGGCACACAGGGAGACCTCCTCCTCAGCAGAAATAGGGTTTTTTTTGCATCTAACTTCAGTCTCAAAACAGTGCAGATAGAAAATAGTGTGTGACCAGTTAGGGCCCTAGTGAAAGGGACCCTCGGAGAGAATGTCTGATATTTGCATCACATTTTGTGGTTTCCGAATTTGCATATGCAACAGCCCGTGTCATTCTCTCATCTCTGTGGTAGATCTAAGGTGTGCCCTCTTACACACACACACAAACACACACACACACTCACACACGTACTTTTCATTGTCTCACTCTGCTCATTTCCCCTTCACATCACAACTAGCTCATCCCCTCCTTACTCATCACTGCTCTGTCTGCAGGACCGAGAACCTCCTCTGGCCCTGGCTGGCCACCTCATTCTGACACATGATGTAACAGGACTCCGGAAGTCGGGTGACTTGTCTGAGCACAGCGTAGACGTCCCAGGACACGAGGATTTGGGGAGGGATGGAGCACTGTGGGAAACTGATGCTCAGAGTGCCTAGTGCAAGATCAGCCCTGGAGAAGCAGCCGGGTTTCTTCCCCAGCAGAATTGATTAGGGACTCTTATGGTTGGGAATCCATAAAAATGTGCTCCCCAGTTCCTGTGATTCCCCAGGGCTGATTCTCCCAGTGACTCCCCTCCAAGGAGGGGCTCTTTGCTTGTTCTGTTTTGCTGGCTCTTCGGTCCACGTCTCTCTGAATCCCCAGCCAGATAGCCTGGAACCCTCCAACCAAGCCCACGGTTGGGTTGGTCTTTCCTTCTTTCATCACCTTGCTTGACTCCTGACAGTCTGCCTGTCAATCCTGGCTAATGGGGGAATTGTGGGTGCCCTAAGTTACATCGTCCCACACCGGCAGTGCCTTTCCACACCAGAGCACCCCAGATGTGCCCACAGCAAGATGTCCCTTCACACAGAGGCAGGCCGGTTCCACTGCACGCCTGCCCGCGAGCTATCCACTGCAGCCCTGCGCTTCAAACTCCACCCGTCTTTCTTGCTGTCAATTCCGTTTCTGCACGGATGATGTTACACAAAGTGTTTACTCTCTGTGTCTTCCTTGCCCCTTTGATAGGTAACAAAGACCCCTGAGTGAAGACCAAGTGAAGTGACATGCACAGGAGGTGTCATTTGGAAGCTGGTCCATGGTGCTGGCTCTCTACTCTCTGCACAAGTGTGTGTGAGGGCTCTGGGGCGAAGCGGGGGTGGGTGGGGGGAGACTGTTTCACTGTCAGGGCCTCCCCAGCACCCAGCCAGAGCTCCACTTAGGCAGTACCTGATGAACACTGAATTAAAACATTCCATGCCGACTGGAGTGCCTGGGTGGCTTAGGTGATTAAGCATCTGACTTCAGCTCAGGTCATGATCTCACAGTTTGTGGGTTCGAGTCTCACGTCAGGCTCTGTGCTGACAGCTCAGAGCCTGGAGCTTGCTTTGGATTCTGTATCTCCCTCTCTCTCTGCCCCTCCCTTGTTCCCGCTCTTGCGTTTGCAAGAGAGACATCTCTCAAAAAAAAAAAAAAAAAAAAATCCGTATCTACCACCCTACTACAAACGATGAGATACAGGGTTATTGGGAATCCATTAAGGATGTGCCCCTGGATCCTGTGCCTCTCAGTGAAGAGCCCCTTCTCCATTCTGATCCCTCCCCCCATGCATCCTGGGCTTCGGAAATGGGAAGTGTGCAAAGGAGATTTCCAGAGCCTATAATGCCTATCCCCATTCTTCACACTTACCAGGAAGTACCTTGCTTACCCCACTCTGAGGGGGGAGGGGGAGCACCTGCTTGCCCAGGAAAACATCAGGAGGCCTGCCGAGTGGGTTCACCAACAGTCCCACCCACGACCCCTCTGGGGCTGGGGAAACGCAGCCGTCCAGCTCACTAGCCCCCGAGGCCACCTGGGCGCCCAACTTGGTGTAAGCGAAACCCTTCCAGCCTGGGCCTCGAGTTCAGATGATGCTAATCGTGAATCGTAGTGTCCATTCCTTGTGTGCCACTCAGTCTGGAGGACCTGGCAAGTCACCAGGCACTACTCTATGCTATGAGGGGGCCTCCCCTCGGCAAATATCCAGGGCACGTGAGGCCCGTGATTCAGTTTGCATTACACTTATTTGTGTTTACTCTCGACCTTACACACCAAACATCATCTACTCTTTCATTAACCCTGCAATCTTTCCTGATTTTGAAGGAACAAAGAAACAGAATTTGTTCTTGGTCAAGGTTCAGCCTGCAATTGCTCTCGGTCTCCAAGATAGCACCTCGTCCCGTCCTTGTCCCCTCCATGATGTGTCAACGGGCCCACTCCGGCCCGGCCCAGAGGAGAGCTGGAACTTGCTTCAGTGACCATGACTTCCACCGCCACAGCAGAACTCCAGGTCACTGCCAGACAACCCGGCCTGCACTCCTTCCCTCCCCCAACGCGAGGCCGCCCCATGCCCATGACTAGGGCTTTTTGTGTTTCCCTGCAGTTTGGCGCGCCCTCTGCGTTTCCTGCCAATAATGCTGGCTGTTGTTTCTGAGCAAATGGAACAAATGACCAACGTGCACTCCATGCAATCCATGAACTGGAAACATCTGCAGGGAGGCCAGCGTGGCCACTGGCTGGGGCGGGGTGGAGGGGACTCGGGGGGAGAGGCCGTGGGAGGAAGACACATGAACTTCAGGGCACGGCCATGTCACAGAAGGGCAAACGGGCTGCCAGGCTGTGGAGGAAGGGAGGCCCCGACTCTGCTGGGTGGTCGCGGGATGAAGAGAGCTCACACATACCCTTCTGTGGATCTCATTTCACACGTGAAAGTCCACGTTAAATCGGAACCGGATCTTGGAAAACAATGGGTCCAACTCCCTGTTTCACCGGTGATGACAAGGGCCCACAGAGGGAGCAGGTGTAATAAATGAGGAGCACCCAGCACCCGCCCCGCCCACCGCGACTGTGTGTGCAGTGTTGGCCGGCCGGCATACTGTCCTGTGTCACCTCCCCTCAAGTCAGGGTGAAGAAGAAGGAAGGGAAAACAGGATCAAGTCTCCATTGCCCACCGTGTACCACGAGCCACGCTGGGGACTCTCCCACACAGCAGTACCGTGACAGCCCTCCTGTGGGCTTCTCTGGGCACGACACTGAGTGCCCTGTCGCGGGCTCTCGCTTGACCCTTGCCATGGCCATATCAAAGCGCCCATCATTTTCATCATATCTGTTTTTGGCGGGTTGGGGAGGCTGACATTTAGAAACATGAAGCAGCTTGCCCAGGATGTCCCTGTTTGTGAATGACGGTTGCAGCTTCCTCCTTGGCTGTCACTGGTAGGGCCACCGTCCTCCTTGGTGGTCACTGGCTCGGCCACTGTGCTGCTCGGCCCGCCGCAGCTGTGAGGGCTGGCTTTTGCCTGTTTCCACAGATGAGTGACAGAGGTTGTGTGTCTCAAATTCTGAATTCAACAGAGAGAGGCCCCCGGGGACCCCTCTTCCCCGAAAGAGGGAATCTCCAGAGTCAAGGCCTAGTTCTTGACCCAGACTCTAACCCAGAGTGAAGGCCTAGTTCTCCACCCAGACTCTCACCTGGAAAGGCCTTTCTGAGCATCACATGGATACTGGCCCGCGGGACACAGTCTGGCTCTCCCTGACTTCACAAGGGGCTGCAGGGGTCCCCACTGGTCAGGACTGGGCCTCGGCTCCCCTGTGTCTCAGAGAGGAGCCATCAGGTTCCCAGAATGTTACACGCCCGTCCTCAGCCCTGCTGCTTGGATGAAGGAGACACCAGCTGAGAGGTGTCCTGGCTGTGGGGCCAGGCCTAGAGGTGGGGAGAGCGCAGGCTCTGGGTGATCCCTGGTGGCGGCTGGGAGTGCTGTCAGTGTCCTCCCAGCAGACATGAGGAAGGAGCCCCCTGGGAGGAGCTGTGGCTTGTGCCCCAGGCCACGGGCCCATTGTGAGGGCAGCTGCACCCGGGCTGCCTGCCTGTGGGTGTGGGAGCGAGAGGGAGCCAGGGACAGTGGCCAGAGAGCCCACATGGCCTCCTGCAGGGGTGTGGCTCCTCCCCCCCTGCCCCAGGGCAGCCCCCAGAGGTCCCAGGGCCAGCAGCAAAGCTCCCCTCCTCTACTGCAGGGGATTCTGGGTGGCGGGGGGGGAGTTGTCACTGTGATTCAGCCACGACACAATTTGGTACAGCCAGCCAGACGTGCTCCTCTGGAACTCTGCCAGCCGGGGCCGGGGGGGAGGGCCACTGGAGGGGCGTTCCCTTCATGCTGCTGGGGTGCACTGGTCTGGTCAGCACAGCTCAGCCCAGAAAGTGTGGGTCCCCCAGCAGGATCCTGGCTCAGGGCATTGGTCCCCATCTATGTGGCCCTGGAGAGCCCAGGAACCATGAGTTCCACATGACCCCTGTGGGGTGTGTGCTGTACCCCCAGTACTCTCTCCTGCCCCGGTGCCCCCTCACCTTGGACCAGGCCCCTGCCCTGCACAGCCAGCCTTTGCCTCCCAGGACCCTGCGCAAACGTATCCCCTTCACTGGAGTTCCAGTTGGGTTGGCCAGGAAGCTGCTCTCAGGGCCTTGGAGAGAGGAGAGCAAGGAGGAAGGCCAAGAGGAAGTCACAAAGATCAGTTTAAAAATAACCCTGCTCTCCATGTCAGCCATGAGGAAGAGCTTGGAGCGGAGCCAGGTTCCGATGGTGGTGGCTCAGGGCAACCTCAGAAAGACCCAAAAGCAAACTGGCAGAGGCCCATCTGGGAGCACACCCCACGGCCTTATCAGCCTTAGCAAGCTACCGCCAAAACCCTGTCTTCATGGGGACTTCCGCCCAGCTGGCATCTGTTTCCTCTCCTATATTTAAAAATTTTTAATGTTTTTTTAAATTTATTTTTGAGAGAGAGAGAGACAGCACGAGTGGTGGAGGAACAGAGAGAGAGGGAGACACAGAATCTGAAGCAGGCTCCAGGCTCTGAGCTGTCAGCACAGAGCCTGATGCAGGGCTCGAACTCACAAACAGCAAGATCATGACCTTAGCCAAAGTCAGACCCTTAACCGACTGAGCCACTCAGGCGCCCCCCCCCCCCACCCTCAGTAGCCTATATTTAAACAACCAGGTTAGTGAACTTGGGAGAGCATCTCTGCCCAGGGGAAGAACACAGCCTCCCGCAGAACACACAGGACCAGGATGATATGAGGCGTTGGGGCCGGTGCTTTGCTCCTCCTCACCTTCTGCTGGGTGATCGGGGCCCAGAGTTCGGCGATCTCCTCGGGAGGGATCTCTGGGTGCGAGCAGGTGTGATGCCTTCTGGTACCTGATGGAGTGGAGGGGACCCTCAGGAAGACCAGAAACAGTACCTACGTCACAGCCTCAGCCCTGAGCATCAGTGTGTGACCCCTTAGTACTGCCAGTCTTGGGATATACTCAGGCCTCTTGGCTATTTTAAGGCACTATTTCCGTCTTTATCCAAACACAGCTGTTTGTTTAAAGGAAGGGCCACAGCTTCTACCAGGAACCTTTTCCTGGTTCTGCTGGCTCCTCAGTCCCAGGGTATTGTGGTGTCATCCAACTACATACACATGTGCACGCGCGCGCGTGCACACACACATACACAGAGCACTAACCTCATGAAACATTTAGTGAGGGGAGGGGCATCTCAGGAATCCTCTAGAAAATATCTCCTCATGGCAGACAGCACCAGTGCTGAGTAACTCGAGCTGGCAGACCTAAGCCATTACCAGGAAATGTTCCCAGAAGCGGCTTCAGGCTGTAGTGACAATGCAAGGTGGCCCTCTGGACTTAGCAGTTATCCCTGGAGAGAAGTGAAGACTGCACCTGTCCCTGGCATCGTGCTCCTCTTTCCTCGTCCCTCCATGCCCTAGGTCATTGGTCCCAGCCGGTACTAGAGAGAGATGCCTGGCTTTACATTCTTCTTCCTTTCCTGTATACAGAGAATCCCAACAGGTTGCATGTTTTATATCCTGGAATTTTCCCCGAGTGGAGTGTTTGTGAATTTCAGCCCACCAAAACACGGACTGGACTCATCCCTTCCTTCCAAACCCCAGCTCTACCCTGAGGCTGGGAGAGTTGGGGCAAGCTACTTTAATTGCTTAGAACCTATTTCCATGTCTGTAAAAAAAGATCAAAATAGGTTAATAGAAGCCGTTTCAAAGAGCTGTCAAGGGGATTCAGTGGGATGATATTTATAAACATCTGGCACCTTGCCCGGCCGCTCATAGTGGGTCCTTAGTGGGTTGATGAACTTTCTATTGCTGTGTCAATTACGCATTTTATGTTTGGTTTATGTTCCCCTCCATTCTTCATATCAAGAAATTCAGAGTTTCTTATTAAAATCAGGGCTCCCCTGGGCACTGGCTCTGTATTTATTCCCCTCGTAACAACAGCAAATAATAGGAGAGCAGATTCCTATCTATGCCAATCCATCCTTTGTGAGGCAGGTGGTTCATTATTATCCCTAGTTTATAGACTGTGGATAAGTGACTTGCCCAAGGTTATATGTGTAGTGCTTGGCCAGGGCAGGGTTTGAACACAGGCAGGCTGGTTCCAGAGCCACCACTTTGAACCTCTTTGCTACAACAGCCGTAACTATTCAGTGGGCCTCAGGTACCACCAATGGGGACTTTTCCTGAACCTGAGATGGACTTGCATGATCCTTGCTTCCTCAGAATCTGGTTTGCAATTAGCCACACTGAATGGATGATTTGGTAACAATAGCTACCACTGTGGATGATTTGGTAACAATAGCTACCACTGAGGCAGCACCTACCTGTTTTATGGCAGACATTTTGCATACATTATTTCTAAACTAAGATTTCTCAACCTCAGCTCTATGGACATTTTGGACCAGATAGTTCTTTGCTGTGGGGACGCTATCTGTGCACTGTAGGATGTTTAGCGGTATCCTCGGCCTTTCCCACTAAATGCCAATAACACCTCACACCCCTCATCATAAATGTCTCCAGATGTCACTAAATGTTCCCTGGGCACGGGGCGGGCAAAATCTCCTAGTGGAGAATCACTGCACTAAACGAGAAATCTGAAGTTCAGAGAGGTTAAATGATTTTCCCAAGGTCACAAGGCTGGGTCACTCCATGACCGAGTATCTGTCACTGTATCATGCTCTCTCCTGGTTCTAAAAAAGGAACGTGTGAACCTGATACTGAGATTTGCCCAGAAGCAATAGCGTCAATATACTCTGACTCCCCACCCCCAAGGCTGTTCAGATTCTGAACTTACAGTCTCCTGGCTGCTACTCACCTGAACAGAATCTAGATCTTGGATTTTTGGAGCTAAGTCAACGGAGACCTAGACTACTCTGCCGAGCCTGGGAATTTCAGCTCTCCTTTACAGTCCTGTGTCCCCTGAGTGTGCTGTGCAGCTCGGTTTGGGCATACACCACACTGGGTCCTCTGGAACTCGGGAAGGTGCAGGTCGTGGGAAATAAAGGTAGCTCTCTTGATTACTTGTCTTTGGCTACTGACTAGAAAAATGCTGGGGCCAGAACCACAACTCCCAACTTCTGCCTGAGTTTCATCTCCTTCTGGTTCCAAATTCATTTCTTAAAATCTTTATGGACATAAAGTGAACTGAATTTGCAAGTGACACCACTTCCTGTGACACAGTCATTGAAGACAGACTGCCAGATACATCAATACAAAGTTGCATACGGGAACACTAATTCATAGCAGAATTGAATCTACCCCAAGCCTAAGGTGTCTTCCATCATTTTTATTCTCTAGCCTTTTTCTCTTCTTTGCTGGACCCTGCTGGGCAGAGACGCAGTTACGTACAACTGTTAATGCACTGCGTGCTAGGAAACAGGAACTGCTTTCCATATGGCCTTCTTCATGCACAGACAAAACAACAACTAAAACTAAATTCTTCGAGGAAGCTAAATAAATCATCCCAAAGGGCAAGTTCAGTGTCAGAGCCTGCTTGCTTTCCTTTATGAGGGAAATGATAGCTAATGGCAGCTGCTCCCCATATTAGTGAAGTCCAGAAGCCTTGGCAACTGTAGTACCTGTGTGGTCAGTTGCTGCCATCTCTCTGTCCCCCCCCCCCCACAGTGTTCCTCCTGACTAGGGTTATCACAGAGGAATGTTCATTATGAGATCACAAAATGAACAATCTCAAAACAAGTCGGTAGGGAGATGGTCACAAAGGATAAGTCTCCAACACAAGAATTGGAAAGATCAGGCCTTTAAGGCTCTATAATTTGTCACCGCATTAACAGAAGGGGAGATGACCATTGGTGAAAAAGACATAGAAACTAACGCAGGGGGGAAGGGGGCTTGTCAGTGTAACTGAGGGACTGTTTTGGACTCAAGCTATGTAATGTTTTTCAAACTACAGGCATCAACCTATTAATGAATTATGAAATCAACTTAAAATTTTTTTAATGTTTTTATTTATTTCTGAGAGAAAGAGAGAGAGAGAGACAGTGTGAGCAGGGAAGGGTCAGAGAGAGAGGGAGATACAGAATCTGAAACAGGCTCCAGGCTCTGAGCTAGCTGCCAGCACAGAGCCCAACGTGGGGCTCGAACCCACGAGCCATGAGATCATGACCTGAGCCGAAGTCGGGTGCTTAACCGACTAAGCCACCCAGCCGCCACTGAAATCAACTTAGTAGACTGTGATCAGAGTATATTTTTAATAGAGTGAAATGAAATGAAATGGGGGTATCAGATGACAGTGCTCATACCAAGATTACTTCCTTTTCATCAGGTATATGTTTGAGTGTATGGTGGATAGCATTCTAAAATGAATTCCTTCTGTTTTACACACTTATTGAAGTATATAATTCACATGCAATAAACTTCACATATTTAGAAAAAGTTTTAGTATTTATTTATTTTTGAGAGAAAGAGAATGAACGAGGGAGGAGCAGAGAGAGAGGGAGACACATAACCTGAAGCAGGCCCCAGACTCTGAGCTGTCAGCACAGAGCCTATTGCAGAGCTCAAACTCACAAGCTATGAGATCATGACCTGAGCCAAAGTTGGACACTTAACCAACTGAGCCACCCAGGCACCCCTTTAAACTTCACACATTAAAGTGCACCATCTGATAAAATTTGACATATGTATACACAGGTGAAACTACCACCACAATCAAGATAACATATCCAGGGTGCCTGACTAGCTCAGTTGGTAGAGCATGTGACTCTCAATCTCAGGGTTATGAGTTCAAGCCCCACATTGGGCATAGAGATAACTTTAAAAAACTAATGAATCCCCCCAAATATATTCTGCCTTTTAAAAAGTATAATATATCTACTGCCACCCAAACTTTCCTCATGCCTCTTTATAATCCCTTCTTTCCCTTCCTCCCCATTCCTCCCCACTAACTACTGATTTGCTCTCTGTCATTATAGTCTGTACTTTCTAGAAAAGTGTTGAAATGGGATCACACGGCAAGTGCGCACTCTTTTTTATGGGGCTTCTTTCAATCAGCCTGCTTATGTTAACATTCAGCCGTGTAGCTGCGTGCCTCATTCATTGTTATTGCAAGATAGGATTCCACTGCACAAATCTATCACAAATTGCTTATGTATCATCTATTGATGGGCATCTAGATTGTTTGCAGTGTGGGGCTACTACATTTAAAAGTGCCATAAACACTCACATTCAAGTCTTTATGTGGACAACATGTCTTCTTGGGTAAATACCTGGTTATGGAAAGACCGAATCATATGGTAGGTGTATATTTAGCTTTTTCAGAAGCTGCCAAAACACATTGTAATATGATTGCACCATTTTACATTCCCACTGGTAACAAAGGCAAGTTCCAGTTTCTCTAAATGGGTCCTTGCCAATGCTTGGAATGATCAGTTGCATTAATTTTAGTGATTCCAGTAGTTATGTAGTCGTATCTCATTGTTTTAATTTCCATAACCTCAATGACCAATGAGATTGAGCATCTTTTTACATGTTTAATTCAACATTTGTACATCTTCTTAGGTGAAATGACTGTTAAATTTTTTGTCCTTTTTTGGGGCTCCTGGGTGGCTCAGTCGGTTGAGCATCTGACACTTGATTTCCATTCAGGTCATGATGCCATGGTCATGGGGTCGACCTCCACGTTGGGCTCCTTGCTGAGCATAGAGACTGCTTAAGATTCTCTCTCTTTCCCTCTCCCTCTGTCCTTCCCCACTCACACTTACTCTCTCTTTAAAAATAAAATCTTTTGTCCATTTTTAATTGGATCACTCATCTTCTGAAGGAGTTGTTAGAGTTCTTTATATATTTTGTTACAAGTCCTTTGTGAGATATATGTTCTGCAAATATTGTCTCCCAGTTTGTGGCTTACCATTTCGTTTTTAAAATAATGCCTTTTGAAGGGCAAAGAATTATATATATATATATAATATGTATAT